GTTGGGTGTATTTCCGGCTAACAGTAAGGCTATGCCAAGCGAAATTCTGTCCGATGTTCTGCTCACTCTACACAATAAATAAACCAAACGCAGAGGCTGCAAACTTACATGAACCTCATCTAACAGAAAATGGAGAGAGTTCTCCCCATAATGCTGGAGGTTTGGACTGGGACATTTGTTTTCTCAGTCCTGCGCCTCTGGTAAGGCACAGACCCACCAGAGGGTGGATGCATTCACTTTGGGAGTCCTCCCTGCTTTGAGTCTTTTCTTTTTTGTTGCAAAAGCTGAGAGTCCCCTCAAGCGATTGTAAAAACTTTTTTACCTGTGAAATTGAGGAACTTATTTCGAATTTTGCTATTTCCATCAACTTGTTTCTAAAGCGACACTTCAAATTGCAGGTTAAAAAAAGCATGAATGGAAACATGGCTATACTGTAACTTTCTACAGCATGTTTCTACAGATAACAATAGGCTTTTAAAAACGTTACATCTTAATACTTTCAAAGTTTTCCATTGGTGTGTGTTAGGTAGAGTAAAAATACTGCTACTTCAGCTCAGTTGGGCGCGAAACGTTGAGAACAACAGAGTGGTACCGCAGTACCTCACTGTAACAATCTTACACTAGTTAGCCATGTCTAATCAGAGTATTACAGTTTTATAAATTAATTTAGCTGTCATGGCGGTCGCTAAGTCACACTTTGCCGCAGCAGCTTGCGATGCTGGTGACGCTGGGTGCGGCCAGCTCTCAGCTGCATCCACAACTTCCTCTCCACGTGCTCCCCACGCGCTCGTATTTTCATCCTGCCTCTCAGCGGCTGCACGCCGGGCAGAGCGGCAGCTCCGCGGCGGCGCCGCTACGCGCTCGGGCTGCTTCCAGTTGCATGGTTACAAGCAATCCTGCTCCGCCGTTGGCTCCCACACCGCAGAGCCGCTCGTTCATTGGACAGCCGAGAAGGGAAAACTGCGTTTCCATTGGCCGCCGAGAAGAGCGCGCAGGCTGCCGGGATTGGCCCGGCTCGGAAGCTCGCGCTCCTTGGAGACTGGCTCTGTAAACATCCTGGTTTGTTTCTGTCAATGGAGAGAGTGTTTACCAGCCGCCGAGTTTTGCCGGTGTGTGCAGTCTGAGGCTGAGCGTCTCTGAGGAGCGGAGTCTGGTGAGAGCGAGGCTAATTGGCTCTCCGCTCCGCCGTGCGCTTTGTGAATTTTTTTTCCTTTCTTTTTTTTTTTTTTTTTTTTTTTTTTTTTTTTTTGAGAAGCGCTCTGCACCATTTATGACATTTTGACAGCATCACAGACGAGCACGCACACAGCCCACAGTCTGTTGGCAGCCTCCCCTTTTTCAGTCTTTATTTTCCATTCAGATGTCTTCTTCAGTGACTCTGTCACGGTCGGCAGCAGCAACCCCACAGGCTGCATGTTATCCCTTTGGAGCCGAGCAGAGCTGCGGCGTCTCGGGGCCCCAAAGTGGTAAATAAAATCGCCTCCAGTGCTAAATGATGCAGCGGGGCTCTTTGTTTTCTGTTAGCACTATTTTGACTCCACTTCTCTCTGCCCAGATATATAAGTTATAGAGCACACACACGCACACGCACGCACACGCACACACACACACACACAACATCAAAGCACACAAACAACCTCCATCCTTTATCTGACCCACAAAGAGGTCACAGAAGCCTTTGATCGCGCCCTGAGAATCAAATCTTTTTATCTCTGGAGATGAACTCAGTGATCTCAGTGACTTTTAGATCACTTTAACATTCATAGTGCAACTTGCAGGGGACGGGCGGGGGGCTGGCCAAGCGAAGGCCGTGGCAAGCTTCCACCCTCTCAGCGAGCCGACTGCTTAGCAACAACCAATCAGCCTAATATTTTTGGCAGGGTCTCGCAGCCAATTGAGACGGCGAGAGCAGACTTTAGAGCTGTGTTTTTATTGGTGGCTGCGAGGAAAAACAATGTTTTTCTTAGCGCTCTGCACTTGAGGCTGATGATGCTTACAGCAGACTCTGAGAGATAATCTCAGCTTTAGAAGGCGTTACTAAACACATAATCCATTATTGTTTAGTGATACAGTTTGCATTTGTGTACACACTTGTAGCTCCACTTGAGCTGTGATGGGCTGTTGTGTGAGTAAAAGCAGTCGCTCCCTATTAGAAATAATCTACATTACTTTTGTAAGAGGGAACAGGAAATTTTGTTAGACTGTTATAATCAGAGATGCACCAATCTATCCGCTGGAGCTTGGAATTGGCCGATTTTTCTTGATCAGCTGGGATTTAGTTTTGGTTGTTTAAACTCTAAAAATTAGATTCCCCATGGCTGACCAGCTCTGTTTTGCTAGTTGTTAGCTTTTTCTATACTACTAACACCAGTCTATTCGGTCTAATGGACATCGGGGGAAGTAGAGAATCCAATGGGCGACCAGCCTTGGTATGCTACTCCTTAGCCTCACTGAAGGTTGCCGGTGCCATCATGTTTATAATCAGCCCAGAGAAAGGAAAGGATGAAGCCACCACTCTGTGTGCAGCAGTTCCAATTTTGGCCCTAATCCTGCACCATAGTTTCACTCAGGAAGGCTATCAGTACAACACTTCCTCCTGTGTAAATAATAACTGGTTTCTGTGTAAATAATTACACCTGCTTGCAAATGTATCAACAGTGTTAAAGTTCATAACATAGAGTTCTCACGAACACACATGTTTTTGAGATTGGAATTGTAAACGTTTCCTTTGCTCTTGGTGCCTTTTGGACTAGCATTAGCATCAAAGACCAGCTAGTCCAGATGTGAGCTTAATGAAGACTCAAAGAGTGTCATCTGCTGTAAACATTCACATAACTTTATCTCATGGAAGCTTAACCTTTGTTGACAACAACATTGGTTAGCTACCTCAGCAGTAGGTGAAGCCTCAGCAGGACTTGCTGTGGCCACCCTGGTTAAATAAAGCTAAGAGCCCATCGACGGCATCCCCTTCTTCAACAGATAAAATCAATAAGCAGGAAGTGGCCACGGGCAACAAACACTCTGGACATGACTGACAAGCGATGCGGCAGAAACCCCAACAGTTTGGTGAGGGGTGGGGTTGGATGTCTCAATTCATCCAAGTCTTCCTGCTACTAGAGGAAAAAAGAGAAGGAAGCGCAGTTAGCAGATATTGCTGTGTGAGCACATAAACAGCAATGAAAGCCATTAGTAGAATTTGCACTTGGTACTAAAAGCCTTCATCTGTATAACTATTAGGTAGAGCAGGGGAATTAATTGGATGAGGGGGGAATAAAAAGAGAGGAAAAATCCATCACCTCATTACTTCTTAAAATCTTTCCTCAAGGGTGAGGGGATCTCATGCTGTTGGAAATTCTCAGCCCATATATCATGCAAAGTAAATACTTCCACCCCCTGTGTCCTATTTCCCCCAATTCTCAGTTGTGGCTGCTCGCTGTAAGCCAGCGCTGCCTCTGAATGAAAAATGAATTCATTGAGTGTTAGGAGGGCTTTTGTGCTCTACCAACCAACCAACAACAAGAATTATTTTAGGTTCCGGAGGCTGTGGTTGTATATTTGACGCCACTGAGGTTTCACTTTCTATTCTTCACGAAGTTGGTTTTGGTGCCAGCTCATGGCTGGTAGCTCACCTGGATCCTGTTCTTAGCGATAGGACCACCATAGCTCTGCATTCCACTTCCCGTGTTTAATCATTTCTTTTTTGGTTAGGTTAATTTTAGGTCTGGTTTATTTTTTTAAATACTTGATTAAGCTTTGTTGTATGGTCATGTCAATAATATGATGTTAGCTTTACAAAACTTCTGTGTCTTCATGTTTTATATTTAATATTTATACTTGAAAATCATGTTGGATCACAGGAAGCTCTTTCAAAAGAATACATGCCAATGGATCCAAATGTATGTCAACTATTTGTCCTGATAAATTTTTCTTAAGTCGTGAATGGTTACTGCCAGACGAGGCATGCTAGTTGTTAGCCTCTCCAACGCTAACATTGCTGAGTGTGTCTGAGTGTGAGGCAGCCATGATGAAACTCATCACCTCCAAATCTGTGACCATAGTTTTGAGCTGGAAAATGGTGCCTTTGCTAAGTCAGGGACAAGGAATTGGTCAAAGCGGAGAAGTTTGACTGCACCCTAAGTATAAATAAATATCAACAAATCAATCAATAAGTATTAATAAAATACTTTTGAATTTTAATATGCATCTTGGGGTCTTATTCATAAATGAGGGAAACATGGAATTAGTATTAATCTGTCCGACAAAGACGTACAATTCATCTGTCTGTTCCTCTGACCACTGGTCATCCATTCATTCATTTTCTGACATCCTTGTCCCTACTGGGGTTGGGAGGCGTGCTGGTGCCTATCTCCAACTGAGAGGCAGGGTCACCCTGGACAGGTCGCCAGTCTGTCGCGGACCACTGGACATTATACATTGAAAAAAAAGTTGGAGACGTCTGAAAAAGTTAGAAATTCTAACTGGAAATGCATGAAGAAACAATATAAAACCCTTCATTACAGAGCAGGGAAACAGTATGCAAACAGTAAGAGCCCTAACAAGAACTAAATAACAGGGATGTAATTGTTCTACTTTGCTTCGTCAAGTTCAGCTCTTCTCCTCATGGAGCGAATCAGCCATGTTTCCATTCTCCGAACACATCTGCGGTCCTGATCTCTCATGGCTGCCGTCAGGTGACTGTGTGTCATGTTTTAATAATTCTCTTTCATCAATATGCCACCCTAACCACCTGACGCAGCGGGGGGGTTCTTGGCACAGGTGTTGCGGTCGAAGCTTCTGATGAAGGTCACTCTGATTTTCAAACAAAAACAGGACTCCAGAGGGAAGGAGACATCTGCAGCGCTGCTACAGTGCTCCTCGTCATTCATTGGTTAAACCCAACTGGGACAAACCCTGGAGGACAGATCTGTCTCTGATGGTGTCGCCTCATGTGTTTGGAATTCACTAAACTTTATTTTGACGTCTGCGTGTTGTGTCCATAGGTCACTCGTGATCATCAGTACCCTGGACGGGCGGATCTCGGCGCTGGATCCTCACAACCAGGGCAGGAAGCAGTGGGACCTGGACGTGGGCTCAGGGTGCCTGGTGTCCTCCAGCCTCAGCAAACCTGAGGTACAATCAACCTGATGTCCCCTCATTGAAACCAAAAACCGGCTTGAAGCATGGATTCCCATCATTTATGTTAATCACAAAGGCTTCAGTAGCTGCGTTTCTGTTGACCTTATAATTTGCAAGATAAATTTGCTTAATGGAAACCATTTTGAAAAAACACATTTTTTATTTTGAAAATGTTGGCACTATGATGCGGTGCTTTTTTTTTCAGCCATATTGAAATTGGTTTATTTTGCAAACATGCAATAGAAACACTTTTGTCGCATCACATTATCAACAACTGGATGTTGCCATTGGTGCAAACCACAAAGAAGAAGATGACAGGAAGTAGTTGGAGGATCATGGCTAGCATGTTCTTTCAATGACTTATTGTGTCAACAAGTTTATTCACATGTAATTTTAATAGTGTTTATATTTAATGAAAACACTGCAATTAAGGAAATGTGTTTTCTTGACATAAACACAGCTTGTAATAGTATTTAAATAATGAATAACATTAAGTTGGTTTATGCTGCCCTGCCTAGTTTAAGTATTCATACATCTAAAACTTTTCCACGTTTCGTCCTGTTGGGAAAAACGAGGGTTGCGTGATTTTTGAAAAAATTTGCAGTGCAAATATTTTGGGTCATTATTAAAATCAATGATTTAAAGCAGCAAATTTTTTCGCATGAAAATCCAAAAAGTACATATTTTGAACTTGAATATCTTGAATAAAATGAACGACCTGAATAAACAATAGACAATTTTTTTCTTTACTTTTCTCAGCGATTTATTTTCACTGAGATAAATCGGGGGAAGTTTTATTTTTGAGGATTCGGGCAGCCCCAGCCAAAGAGTAAATATGATCCATACTTTGGTAGTTTAACTGTAGCATTTTTAGTTATGCTACAATAATTATTACTTCCCTTGTTTTATGGTTTTTAAAATGTCACTCAGTGGATCGTCCTCTTAAGAGAGGAGAAAGGTCGCATCAGTCAGAAAACATTACAAAATTAGAGAATGTGTGCAAAGCAGGATATGCTGCAGTTCGTGTAAAAAACAAAAAATCAGTTTGTATTGAAAATGTAACCACAAATTGGATTCATTGCACAGTTCAAGGGGTGGCAGCATCATGCTGAGGGGGGGAGGCCTTTCAATTAACAACGTTTGCTCATATCTGATGCTCTGATTGGCTGAAATATTTTCATAGATATAGGGGGAAAATGTTCAAAGCTGGTGGAGACAGAAAATAACTAATTTATTTAATAAAGAAACCACACCTTTCAATTTTTTATTTAGAAAATAAATATAAGAATAATATTTAAACCAAATAAACACATTGATGATTAGGGGTTAAGTAATGTGATAAATGTTGAAAAGTGCATATGGAGTCAAGCCTTTTGTGCTTCTTATCCAGTTGTGAAAAAACAACTTTCTCAAAGAGGGAATATATTGTTGGACTGATACATGTTAAGTGGGAGTTAAAGGAGCATTCTGCCTGTTTTCTTTCCTATAAACAGCCCATCTTCCCTCTTTTATTTCCCTCTCGCTGTCTGTAGACGTTTAGACCAATATTTGAACTCGGTGCACTTTGAGCAGCCAGCCAGGAGGGAGCTGCTGCTATCATGTAGGCCTCATTGCACGCACCCCAGACATGCACACGAATCGCAGAGCAGCTGATTTGCCCGGAGGATGCGCCTGTTTTGTTGACTGCAGCGGGTTCTTGCGCATACGAGCATAGCAAGCCCCTCGCCTCTACATGTGTACAGAAGCTTAAACCTCCCACACTGACACGCGGAACGCCCCGGAGCGAGACAACGCGGCTGCACGCGGAGAGGCGCGCTTTGATGTGGACCCGCTCTGTCTCCGCGCTGAAGCTCCAGGGGAAAAGGCCTCTGATATTAACCAGGGTCGGGTCTGAGCGCCGGTCTGCCGCTGCTGCGTGGGAGTGTTTGGGTCTCATTAGTGCGGCAGCACCATCCAGCCTCAGCTTATCGATCAAGTTCTCCATATTTAATTGCTGCTGTTTTTTTTTCTCTTCTTTTTTCCTTTCAAAAGCCTTGACTGATTCTGATGATGTTTAGACTGAGATGTCAAATTGGGAAAATAAGGAACAGAAAAAAATAATCAAAGTATAGAACAATATTTGTTTTTCTTTCCCACACTTTTGTCCCGTTGTCTTAGTTTGCTCCTTTCTTCTTTATTTTTCCTTTTTTTCTTAAAACCTTTTTATTGTTTCCTACTACCCTCACTTTCTGTCTCATCTTGGTATCTTTTCTTTCGTTCTTTATTTTTTTCATTCTAGTTCTATATTTCTTCCTTCCTCTGTTTCTTTGTTTTGTTTTCTCTGATTTTCTTTCCTTTTCTCTTTTCTCTGTTTTTCTTCCTGTCTTTCTTTCTTGGCTTCTCTTTTTCTTTCTTTTTGTTTCTATTTTACTTTGTTAGTTTTTCTTTCTCTTTCTTTCTCCATTTTTCCCTGTGTCTGTCGTCACAGTGTTTATTTGCAGAACATTGCAATAAAATTATTGATTATGAATAAGCCTCATTCTGAACTGAATTTGACCTAACGTCTGTTAGGTCAAATTCATCTGTCTGACCTGAAAGATGAAGACAACTTTGATCTTTCTGCTTAAAGCTCTCCCCTAAAATTTCAAAAGGTTCTTAAAAAAGTATAAATATGGCTTCAAATCCCATATTTTAAATGAATGGGTGCTTTGGGTGCATTGTCTTTGCTAACATTCCGCTTTATATAAAACCAATAGAGGAAAAATACACAACTTGTATTGTTTAAAAATTTCATGAATGTAAACAATATTCAAGCATTTGAAGAAGTTTTAGTTAGTTATTAGTTAGCATGCATCAGTTATTACCTCCTGATGTATAGGACTACTTCTTAATATACTGTAGTCATTTACATCAATAAGATAATTCCCCCCTTAGTGAACAGGGCACCAAAACCGGCTCCAGCCCAGGGGCCCACATCCCTGTGAATCCGGCCCTGGGTGTTGGCAAACCGGCTGAACAGAGATGCCACTCTGGTTCTGAACCCGTTGACTTGTTGTGACGTCACTTGTTATGATCCGACCTGTGTGTGTGTGTGTGTGTGTGTGTGTGCGTGCGTGCGTGCGTGCGTGCGTGTGCGTGTGTTAATTGTGCTTTATGTAAGTTTGGAATCTGTCTTGCCCTCTGTGGCCTCTGTAACCTGGGATGCCCGTCTGCTCCATGTGCTCGGCTCCCTTTAATGCGCATGTTAGTGGTGGGAGGTGTGTGTGTGGGGGGGGGGGATGCTTTGCCTCTGGCTCTTTCCTCCACCTCCCCCTCCACCCGCTTCCTGCTGGGAGCTTAGCAACAGTTTGATTGGTGCTTGCTGGATCCCGAGACACCAGTCTGCTCAGTGATGGGAGGCTGGAGGGGGGTCCGCCGCCGCACTATTGGCTGGCCTCGACACGCCGGGGCGGAAGCAGCCAGTCGCCTGCTCCGTCCCGCATTGTGTGTCACTTCATCGTTTTCTTTTTTTTTTTTCTTCATTTCTTGCAGTAAAACGTGGGACAACAGAAGTACAAACCGCATTGTCTGCAGAAAAAAGAAAAAAACAAGCCATCACTCGAGCAAAACAGGAGAAGCTCGAGGGGGTTGAGGTGCGCGCGTTCGGAGGGGAGTGACTCATCCTGCAGGGGCGGGGCTTAGAGGACTGACCCGATGTGTGTTTTTTTTGAGGGGAGGTGAGGTAATGCCTTTCAACCAGAGATGATGTCATCAAATAACAGACAGCACGCACTTGCTTTCTGTGCATCTGCTGGCATGCAGTGAGAACCTGATTGATCGACACGCTGACGTTTAGCTCTCTGCTCTTAATGGGAAAAGCAATCATTTTCCCAACTCAGTGAGGGAGACGCAAACTGCTGCTTCAGCAGTATTTTTATTATTTATTTATTTTTGTTAGAAAATAAATATTTGGTCCCTGAAATAGAGTCAGAGCTGCGCGTTGAGGTGAAACTGTTTGACAGGATCACTGGAGCGTCAGCAGCAACATAAACATTAGTTGTGCCCCCTCTCCCCCCACCCCTGCCTTAAGGTGCCCCACTGTCTTGTTCCCCCCAAGGGGTGGAACATGTCTACACGACTTGTTACATTAAATAATTATCCATCTCATTTCGAGGAATACTTCCGCAGCAAATTGTTTGTGTGAATAAAATATTTTTTTCTCACAATGCAAGAAACGTCAGTCAGACTTTGATCAAAATCACGCTCTGATTTTTATCTCTTTTTCTTTCTCCCCATTGGCCCCCCCTCCAGTTTTCTCTTGAGGAAAAGCGGTCGGTACTAAATTAGAATCTGCATTCTGACGAGGCTTTTTTTTGACAGAGAATAAATGAAAAACTGTTATTGGTCTGATGCAATATTCAAATTTTGAATGTTTGTGTTTATAATGTTTGAAAATTATAATGAAATGAAGGCTTTTGATGCAATTGATGTTTCAGTTGATCAATCGAAACATCAATTGATCTATACAATAAGTGTTACTTTGAAAACTGAGTTACTGGAATAAATGGTTTCAGAGTTATTCAACCTTATTCAGTATTAGTGTACAATTCAAAGCTTTTAGCATATATTTTCCTACTTTCTGTGAAAAGCAGATTTATTATTGATTTCATGATAATAATAATAGCATAGCTAAATATTTATACTAATGTAAAATCATAAAACATCAGCAACAACGTTCTTATAGCCCACTACCACACTACCACAAATACTGCTCTTGAAAATTTGTAATATGCTTCTTTAGGACACCACTCACATAAAGAAGTATTGTTTTTATCACCATAGTGCATTTAATCACATTTTCAAATGTATCTATATCTATATTTATTGATCCTAACGATTCCAACAATACGAACTGTTGTAAACATCATTAATAGTAATTTATTGTGACGACAATACATCAGAATTGTTGTAAGAAATTTATCACGATAAATGATATACGATACGGTAAATCCGCTCCCCTGTTTTAAACTAAACCCGTCAATCGGTGCGACCAGGAATTGTGTAAGCACATCATTTGACTCGGAACGTTGCGAAGCTCTGATTGGTGCAGTCACACACACACACAGGTTAGGCCTCAGAATAATAAAACACACTATACATTCAGAGCTCTTTAAAGATTGATAGGACCATTGAAATCCACAGAGAGAAGGCGGGAATGTTGATGCTGAGAAGTCTGGGTGGGAGGCTTAATCTTTTAAATTATTCTTTTTATCTGTTTTTAATATTTTATTTTGCTTCAATTCAAAACCCCATTTGAAGGCAGGGGCTGAGTATCATTTTTAGAACCTGACAGAAAGCTTAATCCTTCCCAAATATTATGTGTACACTCATGAAGACAAGCAGACTGTGGTGTGGCTGATCATGGATGAATTATTAACCAGAAAGAATTCCTTTTTATTAGCTTGAAACGACAGACAGGGCCGCTTAGGGCTGTAATATAATGTGATTTTATTTAGTTCTTTTAACCCATTTAAAATATAAATGTTTTTATTTTTTATGCAGCTACACTTCCACACTGTTTTTTAAATTGAAAATAGACACTTCAAGACATAAAGCTAGTTTCCAATGCATTCCCTCAGAAGACTCCCTCGGCTTTGCAACTTGCTGATCCAGACTTTGTGCGGGACGATCCGGCCGAACGGCCAGCACTGAACTCCACCGAGCAGCTGAGAGCAGGCTAACTGGTGTCAGAACGCCGGGCCAGATCAGATGGGTGGATTAAGGCATCAGGAGCAACATGACTCACCCACTGCTCTGAGAATTTTCCTTTTTTCCTGCCTGGTATCCATACACGCACAAAGGGAATCGACTCAGACCGCTAACCCAAACCACCCAGTGTGTTTGCAAGGCTGTCATCACTCCGTGTTCAAAAATGACACGTTTTCACTCTTTAAAAGCAGAAGTCTGACTCCAGAAGCAGCTCATTTACCTCACCAAACGTTCAAGAGCGTAAAACGCTGGCCCTCCAGAGAAAGTGATTGTTGAGTAGCTGTCCTTCTGTCTGAACTGATCTAAAGAGTTTTAATCAGGATTAGGGTCAGGGGTTTTTCAATGATGTCATCCTCAAACCCCTCCCTCCCCATTGCAATGAACACCTCATGCCAACACATTCTATCAGCTTGTGCTGTTTTTGTACATATCCAACCTAATTACCTAATCTCTTAGTTGTGTAATGGTTCCAGATCTGTGGATTGAGTCCAAGTGTGTGTGGGCCAGTGAGACGGCCAGTGAGATGGCCGTGTGGGCGGTTGTGTGTGTCAGGTGCCGTCGTCAGTGGATGATGTAAGATCACTACAAAATTAAATGAAGGAAATGTTTTGTATCCCTGACGATTCATTAAATACCAAAGGGCTCGGGATAGACAATAAATCAATAACATTGTATATCGCCATAGACAGACAATCAGTATCAAGAGATAATAAATATTCCGTAATTTCATTGAACTCTGATCCAGAACCACACAGCACTCTGGGGAATGTAGGCATCAACTAACTAACTCACTCTTTGGTTACCTGGCAACAAACTATTGAGTAACTAGGGCAACCACTCTTTCAGATTGCCTCATAACTGCTTTAAAAAAAATCAATAGTTATCAATATCAGCTGAGATATCGTGATACTTTTTTCAGCCATTTTGTTCAGCCCTACAAAGAATTAAAACTGGTTGGTATGAGTTATCATGGCACATATACCACAAATATACCATGGATACACCATAGCTCTCTATTTTTACATAAATATACCACCAATCTAGATGTTTATAGCTTGTCATCACCACTTTTAGTTTGCTATGGCTTGTTTTTAAAACAAGGTTAGTGTAACAACCTACACTAGAAGTGGTAGGTTCCTACAGCATGACTGTATTTGTTCTTGAGGTCAGAAATGTACCTGAACAGTTGAATTTGTCTTTATGTAATCAAGGTGCAGTTAATGTCTAGTTCACATGGCGAGATTTTCATGCCAATTTTTCCCTTCCGAAAATCACAATTTATGATGCAACAATTTTTTCTTTTGTCAGCAACAGTAAAAGAGTAGAAGACAATAACAAGACTCATCTGTATTCCATTTGTATTTTGGCCTCACAGGTATTTGGCAATAAGATGGTCATACCTTCGCTTGACGGTGCCTTGTTCCAATGGAACCGGGACAGGGAGAGTATGGAGGCTGTGCCTTTCAGTGTTGAGTCGCTGCTCGAGTCATCCTACCGCATCGGAGAGGACACCGTTCTGGTCGGGGGCAAGTCCCTCACCACTTACGGTCTGGGGGCCTACAGTGGCAAGGTGATACTATCGTGGTAACAGTTTTAGAAGTTTGCCACATGGTCACCATTTTCGACTCTAACTGTTTTTGTTTTTTTGTCTTTGCTTCAGATCCGTTACATTTGCTCTGCGGGAGGCTGCAGTCGGTGGGGGGACGAAGAGATGGAGACAGAGGACGTTCTCCTGCTGCAGAGGACTCAGAAGACAGTGCGAGCCATCAGGCCTCGATCAGGAATAGAGAAGTAAGTTCTGAACTGGTCACCACTGGATCCACCTGCTGTACCGCGTGTCAGTAAAGATAGTGAGTTGATAAACTCCTCAGGAAGTTGGAGTTAAATAACACTGAACAAGAACACACTATCTGAATGTGCAGAGCCACAAACAGTAAAGGAAAAGTTTCATCCAACCAAGATGCGACCCAAGACTTGGACTTGGTGTGATCTTGTGCCCTAAAAACTTGAGACTTGTCTTGGACTCTTGTCCTGAAGCAACGGTCTCAAGCATCATTCCTCAAAGGCCTTGTCCTATAACTTTTAGCTGTCTCTCTGCTTCAGCACACCTGGATCTAATATGATCTCAGCAGCAGAGCTCTGCACAGTTCGACTTCATGCTAGTGAGGCACTTTAGTGATCTAATTCAGGTGTGTAGAACAAGGAACGTATCTAACAGTTTCTTGAGAAATACAGTCTTGAGACGATTGCCCTTATCTTAGACTTGTGCCCTAATGACTTGATCCATCCTCTGTGCATATGTGAGTTGAAGTTCATTATTTACAGCCGGAACACTCTAAAGTTATCTGCAATAAATTCCTACCAAATATTCCTGAAAGACCAATATTTTGAGAATTGCAGTCACTCTGAAGTCCTGTGAAGAGGATGAAGTTGCCAAACATTGCTAAGTACCTAATCCAAAAGAAAATCTTGATTCTCTTTCATTCTTAGTTTGCTTTTTGCCCCTTTTTTTTTCTTTTTGTGACCTTAGGTGGAACTTCAGTGTTGGGAGCTTTGAGCTCAAACTAGTCCCTGAGAAACAGACCGGAATGAACTTTCTGGAGGGAGACTTGGCGAACGATGACTCCTGGAAGGAAAGCCAGCGAGTCATTATCGATGAACCAAAGGAGAGGGAGCACAAGGACAACAAGCAGAACCAAAACCAACATTTGGACCTCGTCATTAAAGTGTCTGTCCCTGATTGGAAGGTCATGGCCTTCAGCACCGAGCCCAACGAGCAGCTGGTCTGGGAACATCAGGTGAGACATTTTTATTTGTCACCTTTAGCTCTTTAAAGAGAGGAGTGTTTGCTGTATTGTAGCTCATTCTGTGTCACTATTTGCTGCGTAGTTCTGTACACCCATCGCCTCCGCCTGGCTGGTGGGTGGGGGTAAAGTCACACCGATCAGCCTGTTTGACGACACCACCTATAGCAGCCGATCAGAATCTAAAGAGGATGATGAGGAGGAATCCGACAAAGCCCAGACTGCTGCAGAGTCTAGTGTCTACCTCGGTGAGTTCGTCTGACATGTGCATTCACTCATCTTGATTTTTTTGTTTTTGTTTTGAACATCTTGAAAAATCGCTGTCATTGAGTTTGTGGATGTGCTTTCAGGGATGTTTCAGGGGCAGCTCTACCTTCAGTCATCAGTGAGGATCTCTGAAAAGTTTCCCTCTAAAGCTATCGAATCGGAGAAAGACATCATTTCTCTCCCCACTGTCAAATGGAAGCCGCTTATACGTAAGTCTTTTTGCGCTGAAAGCTAAACACCAAAGGAGCTTGACTTTGACGGTAAAAAGGACAAAGTGACCGAAGACAGTTTCTATTTATTATTTAAAACCAAGTAGTCACTGTTCAAAGAATCTTTTGAAGACACATATGCTCTCTATCCGTTCATTCCCTCAGGCCCTAAGCTTTTACCCTTTGGACGATGTGTTTTTGTTTTTGTTTTTTTCCAAATTGATTTCCAAGGAGTTTCTTCATCTCGTCCTTGCAGAGTCTCCGTCTCGGACTCCGGCTCTGGTGGGCTCTGATGAATTTGACAAGTGTCTGAGCAACGACAAGTATTCCCACGACGAATACAGCAACGGCGCCTTGTCCGTTCTTCAGTATCCTTACGGTAAAGGCCGCGTCACTCCCTAACCATGGTGTAGCCCTGCATGTTGCTCCAGCAGAAACTTTCAAAGCCTTTCAACCTTTTCTTGCTTAGTTTTGCTAGTTTTTTTGCTTGGTTTAGCAGAATTCCAACATGAGCGATGTGAAAGTGTCATAGCTGCATCATACAGGGGTTCAACGAAGCAGATGGATGAATGTTTTCAGGCTTCTGTTATCGTCCCTTGGTTTTACAATTATGCACTAACTAATTTGCGAGAGGTTGTATGTGCCAGGTGCAGATGAATCTAATTGATACCTATCTGGTTTCCGTCTCCGTCTTGTCGCCGCAGACAACGGTTACTACTTCCCCTACAGCAAGAATTACCGGGAGAAACGTGAAAGTGCCATCAGTCTGATAAAGAGAAATGAGGCGGGCTCGGACAACCGCAGGAGGAAGGACCCTGTGCTGCTGCTTCCCTGGTGGAAGGAAATCCTCGGCACCATCATCTTCTGCATCGCTGCCACCACCTATGTGGTCCGCAGGTTCTTCCACCCGCCTGCCCCTGTGGCCTACGTTAGGGTAAGAGTTCACCCCCTGACTGCTGTTAGAACTGCGGTATGTAACTTTTATTTTTTTTAAATATGTTTTTTACATTATTGTTAAAATTGTCACAATGTTGATAGAGAGAGAGACAGATAATCTGTGAAAAGATAAATCTCCTCCTCCCTCAGTTACTATTGCCGTCTGATGAACCGCATCGCTCCCGACCAAATACAACCAATCAGACATTAGGAAGGTCTTAGCGCTGTCAATCATCCTCATGTACTCACTGATAAATGTGCTAATGGTGGAAAAGCAACTTACTACTACAGGAAAAGCATTTATCTGCTGTCATTGGTTGCCATGCGAAATAGCTTCAGCATTTGCTGTGGTATCTGTAACTTAGCAGTTAGCAGAGCAGGGGTGATTGACAGCGCTAAGGTCTGCCTCCTGATTGGTTGTTCTTTGATGGTTCTTGGAGAAAGGAGAGGAGATTCTGTTTTTTCCACAGATTATCTGTCTCATAAGACACTGTCACGGCATAATGATGATTTCAACAAATATGTAAAAAATGTTTTTTGTAAACTTTACATACTGCACTTTTAAGTAGCTGAAAGGGAGTGTTTTTGTTCCTAAGTGTGTGTGCGTGCGTGTGTATGTGTGTGTTTGACATGTTTTTGCCGTCATCTGTGTGTCCGTCGCAGCAACGGAAAGAGTCGGAGACGCAGTGCCAGACCGACAGCAAGTTTGACCTTGAAGTCGTCGAATCCAAAGAGCCGGTTGCCGTGGAGAACCGCTTCAGCGAATATGTGTCCAGGTACTCCACTAACTGCCCCACAAAGGAGCGCCGGACCCATTTGTCTTTTCTGTCTGAACTTCTCCCGCTGCTGTTCCACCACTTATTATCCTGGCATTTCCAGAGCCTCACTCGTTTAAGGTGTAGCTACAGATTGAGCGCTGTTACCATGGTGACCACTGGTCTTCCAGCCTGCCTTGATAGGACAAGGCAGAGACGGGGAGATAGGAGTCGTGGTAACATGCGATTGGGTGTCTCGGCTGTTTGCCGTCAAATCAGAGTGACCTTTGCACCTCTCCTCGCAGCGGCGGCTCCGCTTAGCTTCCATCTGCCTCTCGGGGTCGCGGGGTCACATTTCATCACAGTCTGAACACTTTCAGAAGTTTCTCACTTCTTCTAGCTGATCTGATGTTTGTGGGGATAAATCCACCCTAAAACCTGCATCTGTTCCTTATAGCTGCTGCTCTGGTTGATAGATTAAGTTAGCTCCAGAACTTTTCCAAGCTGAAGGTGAAGCTGCTGCTCCCACACTTTAGCCTCCGAGTCCCATGATGAGACAGGAGCAGGGTGCAGCCAGGTCTGAATATGGTTTCCCAAGCGGTAAGCGCATGGCTCTGCTCCTCGTTTATCAAAAACTCCTTTAGATTTGGTTGCAGTAGTAATTGTGGTGATGATTCATGAGGCAGTGTTTATTCATAGGTTCAGTCCCCTGAATTTGAGACATGGATGAAAGAAAGATAGTTTTTAAAAAAAAGGGAAACTTTTCTCTTTTTTAATTTTTCAAAAAGCCCGCTATAGATGATTAATGACAAATGAAAGTACTGTCATCTGAACGGGCCAAAATGATGTACCAACTTCAAGTATTTATTTTTTTCAGTGATTCCAGATCCTGTGGACAAGTAATTTTCACAAATGAATAATTTTCTGCTTGAGTTTCTAATGTTATGACTTAACTGAGGATGGCAGCATATCCTTAAAAAGTCTTAAATTAATTTTGAAGAACTCTTCACCGTCCTAAATATGCTAGTAACGGGTCTTAAAAGTTGTCGCAGGATTATTCAGTGTTGTATGTAGTTCTGTTTTATTTATTTTTCTTGCGGGACTTTCCTGTCAGGCAAAGGTTTGAGTCACACGCAGACATCTCCAATGCATTGAGTGCTTTGAGGCTGTCGGCAACTAGCTGCTAACACACCCTTGCTAGCTGCCTCGCTTTCTTTTCTCTAACATGGGGAAGTGCAAATGTATCGCAAGTTGGCCGGACAGCTTTTTTTTTAAATTACTACTGGCTTCCTCTTGTTGCCAGCCTAATCCTGAAATCATTCCCTATATTTATATATACTTTTTCAGTCTGAAATTTCATTCAGCCTTCCATTATAAAGGTCTTAAAAAGTCTTGAATTTGCCTCTGAAGCCTGTAGAGACCCTGTAACTTTATGCAGCCTAGAATTTTGAATGGATGATGAAAACCTCAGTAATCAAATTCTTAGCAAGTGAATATTTTGTGTATTTTATCTTGAATTCTCCAAAGTTCTGTTGAACACTGTGAAGTCTGCGTGATTCTTCCTTGCCCAGGGATAACCAGTATGTATCTATCTCCCCCCCAGGTACCTAACAGACTTCGAGCCGGTGCAGTGCCTCGGCCGCGGGGGCTTCGGCGTCGTCTTTGAAGCTCGCAACAAGGTGGACGACTGCAACTACGCCATCAAAAGGATCCGCCTGCCCAACAGGTAGCGCCTCTCGCCCGGCGGCAGCGCGCTTCTTTGCTGTGGGCTACCAGCTCTGTTTCCTTTAAAGCCGGTTATGTAAGCTGTGGCCTACTTGTTAAACACAGAAAACCACACAAACGGTTAACTGGCGTTTTGAAACCAATATTAGCGGTGCATTTATTATTTATAGGCGCAAGCATGGATATTTAATGTTGCTTCTCTTAACACTTGCGGACCGATCTGTACGGCTCCCTCTGAAAAAAGTATTGCACCCGTGAAGGCAATTTCTCTGTTTCTGGCTTTGGTTGCCAGAAATATTAATAATGAGATGTGTGACTGAAAATCGTTTGTTGTTGCCCCTTTGGGCCTCTTGTCATGATTGTTTAAACAAAAAATATAAGCTGAACGTCTTATTCCCATTTTGGTTTTGCATTTGTAGGCTGTATTTATGGTGTAGAGTTGCCACCAGATTGTGTTTGAGGAATCAACAGCCATCAGGATCTCTAAACAGAAGAGAAGATGAAAAATGAGAGACATTGCACAAAAACTGGCAATAGCCGCCACATTGTTAGGAATGTACATAAGAGAAAAGAACAGATAGACCAATTATAACATCAGACGGGAACCACTGCAGGACAGGGGTGGAGGTACCAGCCGCAGCGTCTGCTGTTTGAAGACGACAAGTCATTTAGAAGGCGACTGAAACCAAGAAGCAGAGAGAAGCCCGAAGCTTCAAGGACAAAGTTTGATGGACAAATGAGGCAAAGTAGAAGCGTTACCAAAGGGACAGAACGGTTCATGTTCAGAGAAAGAGAAGATTGGCTCATTGACGACGCCTCTAGAAATCCTGACCTGCTGATTCCAACCTTTTTTTTTTTTTTTTGTCTGAAAAGTTGCTGAATGTAGCTGCCTTTGAGTTTCGGAGGTAGACGACATTGGTGGTTAAGGTTGATTGACGTTTACACAAGAGTCTCCCAAGATTAAGGATTAAGAAAAAAGGTTTAGCAGTTTTTCGGTTCCTTAATGAACATAAAAATGTGGCATGAAAAAAGTCAACCTTTGTCTCATGTCCAGCCGTTGATGTCAAGCCGAAGTATTTACAATCTACAACTAAAATAAAGAAAATACCCTTACAGTTCCCATGCTTTCAGAGGACAATGTATTTTTGTCCCTTATCCGTAACAACACTCAGGTGCTGTTAAAACTCTTGCAGCCTAAAAATTAGCTTTGTTTTCAATTTTACTGTTTTATTGCAACTTCACAAATAGTTTTTAGCTCAGCAGTTGAAATCAGAGTGAAAGCCGGATGTGTTTCAGCCTTGTGCTTTGTGTGTGCTTTGTGTGTGTGTGTGTGTGTGTGTGTGTGTGTGTGTGTGTGTGTGTGTGTGTGTGTGTGTGTGCGTGTGCGTGTGCGTGTGCGGTCCAGGGAGCTGGCCCGGGAGAAGGTGATGCGGGAGGTGAAGGCTCTGGCTAAGCTGGAGCATCCAGGGATCATCCGCTACTTCAACGCCTGGCAGGAGAGCCCCCCCGAGGGCTGGCAGGAGGAGATGGACCAGAGGTGGCACAAGGACGCCAGGTTAGAGGGCAGGGTCAGGGGGTCGCTGGGGTCACATGCTGTCTGGGAAGGTTCCAGTTGAATGTAGTCCGGATATATGTTTTATGTCCAACTCCCCATCTTCTCATTCCTTTTCATATTCTTCTCTTTGCTCATTTTCTTCACTTTGTTTCTATTTTGTTTTCCTCATTTCTTTTCTTCCCCCATTTCTCTCTGCCTTTGTTACCCTTTCTGTCCATCAAAACCTTCTTCCCTCCTTTCTTCCTTTTTTAGTTTTTAGCCTTTCCTTTTGTCTGTCCTTTTTTATTCATTCATTCCATCATTTTTGTCTTTCCTTCCTTTTTTATTTTTGTTTTTTCTTCATTCTTCCTTTCCTTTTAGTTTTTCCTTTATTCCTGCTTTCTGGAATCCTTTTCTTCCTTTTTTTCTTCAAGACGTGTGTCCATCCTTGTGGTCTTTCCATTCTTTTAATGTTTGTAATCTTTGTTTCCTTCTATTTGTCTTACTTTTCTTCTTTCCTTCCTTTTAGTTTTTTCTTCTTTCCCACTACCTTCCTGTATGATTTCCATTCTGTAACAATGTTTTAACCCGTTTTTGCTAAATTCCTGGTAAACATTGTATTTCCAATGTCCTGTCTTGTTTCCAGGACAGGACAGGATGTTTTAAATCAACCTGTCCTGAAGTTCAGCAGGTCATCATTAATAATCCCTCAGAATGAAATCCAGTCTTCCAGCCTAACTGTATTAATGACGACTCTTCCTCTTCCAGTACCACTGACTGGCCGATGAGCGTCCCCGACCACATGGAGGTGCTGTCGGTCAAAGTCCCCGTGTCCAGCTCTGTGTCCCCCACGTCCGGTCCAGACGGAGACACATCCGTCAGCGCTCAGGCGCTCCTCTCCAACAGCAATGCCGGCTTCAGCGCCAACGACGGAGACGGCGACCTGTCCTTCCAGCCGCTGCCGGGCCACGACAGCCTGATGTCCGAGCGGGACAGCCAGGCCGACCCCGACGCCTCCGACACCCCCAACTCCTTCGAGCTGTGCTCGCCGCGCGGCCCCAGCGACTGCACCTCCTCCTCCTTCGACATCGTCTTCGAGGACTCCGGCTGCGATCGGGACGCCGACGCCGACACGGACTCGGGCACGAGCGCCGCCGGTCCCGCAATGCTGACGGAAAAGAAGAGTTCTTCTAATTCTCATGGCAGGCAGGAGGAGGCTGCGCCGCCGGCTTCCTCCAGTCCTCCTCGACCCACCTCGCTCACCCTGGCTCTCCCAGCCACCCAGCCGATCCAGCGCTTCCAGCCTTCCCCAAAGGTGATTACCAAGTGACCAGCTCAAACACGCGGCCATCCTGTTGCCAGATTGTCATTGAACACGGCGTCCTTCCTGCAGGTGTACCTGTACATCCAGATGCAGCTCTGTCGGAAGGAGAACCTGAAGGACTGGATGGCTCAGCGGTGCCAGCCGGACCAGAGGGAGCTCAACCAGTGTCTAGACATCTTCCTGCAGATCGCAGAGGCCGTCGACTTCCTGCACAGCAAGGGCCTGATGCACAGAGACCTGAAGGTAAAGGCTCACAAAACCTGCACCGAGGAGGAAGAAATGGTATGCATCCCGTGTGTCAGGAGCATTTCTCCCAGAGTTCTATAAGCCTGGCGGGTCTCTAGGCTTTACTTGTGCCCGGCTAAGAATTGTTTGTTTATTTATTATAATTTTTTTATATACACCAGTTTCTGTAACCACCGCCAATCTTTACTGGTCTACATTCTAACAACTTCAGCCAGTAAAGTGACAAGTCACGGAAAAAGGATCAACAAATTTAGGACACTTTAATCAGGATGAAATGACGAAAACAAGTTTTTTCACCTTTTTTAAGACTTTACAGTTGGTGTTTAGGTTTGTGCTAATGATATCTTCCAATAACAGTTACCAAGTTATGTTTTCAAATTTAAATCGTTTTTTAAATAAAAAACATGGTGGGATGACCAGTTTCCAGCTGGAAACCCTGTAAACCACCGACAAAGAACAATCTGGATAAATCACCACTGCAGAAACACAGGCCAATCGTCAACCATCCATTCATCAGCCTACCTATTGAAAACTAATCAATACCTTCCAAATGATAACCAACCGCTTTGACGTCTGTTTCCATGCCCACCACAGCACTGGTACTGCCCTGGTCGTTCATTAGCTGTGTTCCCTCGGACCATGTCGTTGCACAATTTGACATTTGGAAAATAAATTTGCTTACTGGAAACATGCCACTCGGGTCTTCTGGTTCTGGTCCTGCTCTGCATCCCCAGAACCAGAACCAAACATGGAGAAGCATACATCTAGAACAAACCTCCAGAGAACCGCAAACCCAGCCAAAACACTGAGTCCATTATATGAAAGCTAGAAACCCACCTGTTCAGAGGTGCTTTTGATTAATAGTAACTGGAACTTTGATCAACATATTTAATGTTTGTTTGCTTGATGACTTTCATGCACTTGACACATCGGGATGTTGTAGAATTGGCTGATGTTTTCATTATTGAAGTCACTCTGAACAACATGTGCTGCACGAATCAACCCGGCTTGTTCTCTGCTCCCTCCAGCCTTCCAACATCTTCTTCACCATGGACGACGTGGTGAAGGTGGGGGACTTCGGCCTGGTGACCGCCATGGACCAGGAGGACGACGAGGACGAGCCCAGCGTGTTGACGCCCGCCCCGCTCCTCACCCGGCACACGGGCCAAGTCGGCACCAAGCTCTACATGAGCCCGGAGCAGGTGAAGGAAACGAGCGCCGCCGCAGAAGGGACTCTGTCGCAGAACACAACCACGGGACTGACGCTGCCGTGTCTGCTCTGCTCCGCAGCTCTCCGGTAACTCGTACTCTCACAAGGTGGACATCTACTCGCTGGGGCTGATCCTGTTCGAGCTGCTGTACCCCTTCAGGACCCAGATGGAGAGAGTGAGGGTGAGTCAGCAAACACAGACCTCTAATCAGCTCCTGATATTGAGCTTTGAATAAATATTCATACTTATTAAAGTGGCAGTATCATGTAAAATTGACTTTTTTGAGCTTTACAGCCTTTTCACATCAGTGTACAATGCTATTTCCTCATTGAAAACATACCTGGAGGCTTGCCTTGGTTCTTTTAAGGCAAATGTTCCTTTAGTCTCCATGGCAACCATTCAGCTGTGTAAGGCACCTGGTTGAACCTAACACCGCCTCATAGAGCGGCTCTCCCACACGCAGCTCCTTCAGACTAGCCAGCAGCAATTAGCAAAAACCTGGTAGACCTACACATCCGTGGAGCTCATTGTAGGAGCTACTGCTCAGAGCAACGCTGACAAAAACATTGTTAAAAAGAGGAGCCATGTTGGATAATTTAAAACCTCCATTGTTTTCTCGTGTATGTTGTATCTGGTCAGTGCTCAGTCTACGCTGAAATAAAAAAAGATTTCCTAAATCTTTCAGTTTTAGGAAAGATGTTTGTTTTTGACGCAGTAACAAACTTCAGGGTATTTTATTAGGATACTCGTTGTCTGTCTAAATAAGTTTAATAATGTGATTGTTTATTCAATCAGCATTTAATGCAGCTCTCATAAAAAATTGTTAAAATATAATTATTTTCACATTTTCAACATTCTCATAGCAAGAAGGCTGTAACCTTCTCGCTATGAGAAAAAGACTTGCAACAAAATGGCTACTTATCAATTAAACATTAGCCAATCAATAAGCTCAATCGACTATTTTTCACAAAAACAGAGAGGCAAACATTTGACTCTCTAGATATTCAGTTAAGAGTTGCAACTTTTCACCACCCTGTAGATGATTTCCTCCTGCTCAGCTACTACGGTTCGAATCTCAAATGAAAGTTTCAAACATGATAAAATGTTGAATCGTTCACAGAATGAACTCTTGCTCAGTGACTCACAGGTGTTTACCTTCCTCCCTCCAGACGCTCACTGAGGTCAGAGCACTGCGCTTCCCGGAGCTTTTCTCCAGAAACAATGCTGAGGAGGTGAGTGGTCGTCTGCTGCCACCTAGTGGCTACAAACACAACTAACGTCTGTATTCATCGATTTCTATGGAAGCTTTGATTACAATTTTTTAAAAAAGTTTTTCCCTGCAATGTTATCAGAGAGTAGATGTAATTTACCCGTCCACACTAATCCAAATACGATGTGGTTTCTGATGAATGAAACGCCTCGGCTCTGAATGCGACATCAGATTTAGAAGAGCATAAAATCTTTCATTCAATACGGAGGTAAATTCTTAACTTTAATGTGTTCTTAATAGAAACTCAATATCATATCATAAATACATTAAAATCACATGCATTTCTACTATTAGTATTAGTTTTGTTTTAGAAATCAGGAATTTCATTGCCTAAAATGCAGTGACAGCTTTCCAAAGGAAGAATCTGCAGATGAGAAAAAACTCAACCTGAGAAAAATTCTGTCCTTTTTGCTTGACTTAACTTCAGTACAGCGTAGGGCTGATCATTTGATCTTTTTTTTTTTTAATAATAGGATAACAGAGGGTGCTTAGAGATTTTCTTTTTTGTTTGTCTTAAATGCAAAATATAAAATTTTTGAACAGTTTTGGCCTAATTTCTTGTCTGTGGTTTCATCAAATTGTCTTTTTCGCAGTGTGTACTCCAGTTAACAATTGATTGATTACTGAATTAATTGATTATTGTTTAAATAATCAATTAATAGTAATCAATGGTTTAGCCCAAGTTGTTTTTCTTGTTAAATCAGACACTGACTCAACCTGTGAGTGTTATAGTTGCTGCTTAGCAGAGCTGTTTACTTTGTAATGAGATTAACATAATCCTGGAGAGCAAATCTGTGACTCTCAGACTCTTTAAAAATGCCGCCACTCCGTGTCGCCAAACTGCATTCTCGACCGCATCGACGTCTCATGAACCAAACATGTCCGCCTCTCTGCCAACAGCTGACCATGGTGCGCAGCATGCTGTCTCTGAGCCCCGGCGAGCGTCCCGAGGCGGCCGACATCACTGCCATGTCCCTGTTCCAGGAGCTGGAGCTGCCGTGCCGGCTCGCCGTCCGGCAGCGCTCCCGCACCTACAGCTCCTCCTCCATGGGCCGCCCCGCACGCCAGGCGTCCTCCAGCTGAAAGCGCTCAGTTCTGAGACGAGAAGCCCCGCCCAGCCCCGCCCCGCCCTGTTCACCTCGCCACCAGAGAATAGCAACAAAAAAACTTTTTAAACGTAGACTATATCCTGCCAGTTAACTCTAGAAAAACATTGTGTCGTTTATCGTTCATGCTACCCAACGTTCACCCTTTAAAAGCGGGGGAAGGTTCTTTCAAGAGCATTTTTCTTGTGGGTTCGTAACAAAACAAACAAGGGCACTTTTTTTTTTTTATCCTGCTCTCAGCCAGCTGTGTGTAAACCTGCCCAATGATTTCTCTGCAGTGTTTACCGCTGATCTCTACAAACTGCCTCTTTTATCACTCTTACCTAAATCGTCCTCGATAGCGATGCTCAAAAAAACAACAACACAATAACAGATCCGGTCAAAACGTACCACTCGCTCCCAACGTTGAGCCAGTGTTCAGTCCCACACCGCTACGCCTCAGGTATGAAGAACCAAGGGGACACTCCTCACTCCGAAGGGGCCTTTGATGTTCGTGCAAACACCGAGCGGTGTTCCCACACGCAATCTGCCCGATGTGGCAGACCAAAAAAAAAAAAAGAAAAAAGAAAGAAAGAAAACACAAAAAACGAAGACGACCATCTTTTTCTCATGATCATTATTTTTTAATAAGAGCTGACGCATTGCATAGAGATGAGTTTGAGTCCCGTTCGCCAGATGTGACTTGCCTTTAGAATGTGGCCGTCTGCACTCTCAGGCCGGATGCTAGCGCTAACCCTCGTGTCGTTTTGCATGTATCAGACGGGAACATGAAGGGATGAACGTGAGATTGTTTTGTTTTGTTTTTATCTTAAAGCCAGTACTTTTTTCTCTGTATAAATTTTCCAGATGAACTCCAGAGGTGCTCAAACCTTTTCTTGCGCCTCTTCTTTACCATCTGTACATAGTTGAAGGCAGAATTTTGTTTATACCCCTTTTACCCCCCCTCCCCTTTGGTTAAGATAAGTTTGACCAGTGATGTACATATCGTAAGGCGCCATTGCTTGTAAAAGGCTTTTTTTTTTTTTTTTAGTTTTTTCATATTTACCTGTAAGATAGTGTGATATACTGTGAGAGACAAAAACAAAGAGGAGGTTCACTCTTTGCCATTAATGGATAGCTGAATGTTACAGTGTGACCCCCCTCCCCCGCCTGGAGACAAGACCACGGTCTCCGGGGACACTTATTCTCAGTGTTTGTTTTCACATGTTTTTTGGGGAACCAAGTGGAGAGCGTTGCCTTGCTTTGGTAAGAGAAAAAAAACCAAAACACCAGTGGGTGTTTTTTTTTTTGTTGTTTTTTTTTTTTCTCCAGCAGGACCCGGAGTGCCATTAGGAGAGACAGCTAAGTGTACTTTTCTGCAACCAATAACACACCTCTGATTATGGATGATTCAACAGCCTTGTGCTGGTGATTTCCCCCCTGAAACGCACAAAACTAAAACTTTTTTATGGTTACAATAAGAAAGGAAATTGTTTGGGGTTTTTTTTGTTGTTCTTATTGGGTTTTTTTTTTTGTTTGTTTTTTTGTAGAGATGCACCGAGAATTTTCAGCTCAATGGGCAAATACAAAATCTGGTATTCTTCCTATGTTTGAACACACCATACACAATAGTTATCAGCTAGTGATAACAGTTCTCAGTGTGGATGTTGTTACTGTGTGAAGAAGACCTAAGGTTTGTCATTTTCAGCATCGGTGAAGACCGAAAACTGACTTGATATAAAATAGAGGCCAAAGTAATGGAATTTAAATGACTTTGAAAATGTACTCAGAAAATGAAGGACAGTCCCGATTTATTAATTGAAGCATATGTTTACGGCCCTTCGATTTCGATCAGTGTTTCATATTGAACTTCAAAAATGAGGATAAATGTAAGCTAGCTGACGCATTTACAAACCTAAAGTAGTGCAATCTCTGCAATTGTGATGCATTTAATGAATGGAGTGAAAAGAAAGCTGAAGAAATCTGTGGTCAGATCGGTGCATCGCTACAAACAAAACAACATAAAAACAAAGGTTGAGCTCTGCAGCTCTCCTGTGTGGCAGCAATACAGCGTTTCCATAAAAAGAGTTGGTTGGTTTTGTTTTATCCCCTCTGCTGTGTCTGGGGAACCTGGACCTGATGATGGTTGTGTAATCCACATGGCCTTTTGTTTTAATGCGCTGGAAGAGTCACATGACCTGCTTTTTGGAACTACACACACAAACTGTTGGCTGTAGGTTGTGCTTTCTATGATTGTACTTTTCTAAAGACCTTCTCTTTTTTCACAATGAGTGCAGTTTTTTTATTATTATTATTACTCTGCAGGGTTTTTAGATCACGTTAGTCTTGACTGCGTCAGACGGAACAAGTCACACTGATGTTTGTTGGGGGTTTTTTGTTCGTTCATCCGGTCAGCTTACAAAAGATGATTCAGAGTTGTAAAGTTATCAATGTTTCGAAGTTCAAACCAGGCCCACCCTGTTAAAAGTGAAAACTGGATGGTTTTAAAGTGATAAGCCTAACCCTTCAGGTGTTGTGTTTGTATGTTACTTTAATCCTTTTCTGACTTTTTTTATTTAGTTTTGTTTGTTTGGGGGTTTTTTTTTAGAAATGTTGTTGCAATTTTTCTCTTTGATTACTGGTTTATATTTCAAGAGAGGCTTTGGAATAATCATTCCTCAGGAGTTTTTGTTTCCAGAGTGAATTTTGCTCCAAACACATGTTGGAATGGGACAAACCTTCACAACTTCATTCCACTACATTAGTAAAATGCCGCATCATCTTTGTACACCAACTGCAGCATTGGAACATCTTTCCTAAACGTGATCCCATCCCAGGTTTTCTGTCCTCGTTTGTTTTCCGGAAACCCGAGTCGTTTTCTCGGATAAATTGTACGAATGGAAGCCAATTCCATTGTGCGTCTCGAGCCTCTGCCTGCAGACGCAGTCGCTTTGGTCTCTGTGCACCAATCCCATTTCTCCGTCTGTCCATGTTGAACTGTAAATATGTCGATTTGGTTTATTTATGTTTGGTGGGCGTGATCAATCCTTTGTGGGTTGGCGTCACACTGAGCGCTTCATGCCATGGAGCGCATTGGAATACGACTTCTTATAAGTCTGAATTTAATAAACTGTTCTATACAATTTTCACAGTTGTGTGTGTCACCAGTTTTGTTGGCCAGTTAAGGTTCTGACAAAGTACTTTTTAACATGAACCACGCTGTTTTCCTACGTTTGGCACAAAAGACATTGTTTCCATTAAATGAGAAACAATTCAAATCACATATGAATAATTTTGTTCACACCCAAGTCATTAAAAACAAAAAAACTCACTTCACCGTAATCCTCCGATCACTTCCTGTCGTTTTCTTCTTCATGGTTTGTGCCAGTGGCAGCATCCGGGTGTAGACCGTGCGGTGCGACATAAACCGATATCAATATTGCTACATAAACCACCTCATCCTAGCGCCAAAACTTTTTTATTCAATAACAAGAGTTTTATTTGCAATTGGTGTGTTTCCATTAAGCAAATTTATTTTCAAAATGTCAATAAGCCAAGTTCTATGTCCAATGGAGCTACTGTTTAACGTCTTTCACACATTCAAAATGAGAACAAGAAATGTCTCCTAAACATGGTGGAGACATGTTTTATCGAAACTGTATAGATACTGTGTCACTGAATACTGACACCTGCTGGACGTTAAACATCCCTACAGGCAACATAGTTTTTTCCCCCACAAATTTTCATTCAAAAAAATGAACTAAACAATAAATTGATATGAAATAATTTATAATAACCAACTGAGTTTTTCCCTGGGTGTATCTATTTTCTGATGCAAGATCAAAATGGTCCCAAACTACAAAACCTTTCGTTTGTCTTGAGGCTGCTTCAAATTGACGCTGTACTGTAAAAGATCAAGAATTATTTTGGCAAATGCATCCCGTTGGCAGATTCGCTTCCTTATGAACAGTTTGGTTCGCCAGTGTCATTTCAAAACGGTTCCTGTATCGACGCACGCGCCGACGCATTGGTGTTGCCAGACCCAACACTACTGTGAGCCTTTCATGTAATGACTCACCAACAGATGTTGGCCTGTTTTTCAGCCCTGAAGCCAATATGAAAGGCTGAAACGGTGCCAAATATCTTCTCTGTGTGAAACTGTTTTATTGCCTTTATCTATAAGGTTCTATGAGGTCAAGACCATCGAGCAATAATGGGAGCTTGTGCGAGAGTCTGCACACCAGCTTTCAAACAGTTTCACATGCAAAGACTTGGTTCATAGTTCCCTGGCATGCTGAATGCGACTAGTGTTGATAACACTAGTTCATGTGTATTTAAAGTCAGCCACACAGGTACGCTTATCTAGCTTCTCTAGATAAGGGTGAGACGTCTCCCTGTGAGTCGAGGACAGTCGGTATCCGCACGGCGTTAATTGCCACTGTGGTGGAGTTGGATTTGGAAAGACCTCTGCAAACCAATGTCTCCTCAGCTGCCGTGGTGTAAGGTATTGCTATCACTGATTTATGAAGCTTTGCTACTTGCTAAATTATTGTAAAAGTGTTGCTTCTTAACAGAGGCACCAGCCTCAAGCTAGCAGGCCGTGATGGTCTGGGCCCCTACTGGTGCCATTCATGCAAGGGTGACATAATTCAAACCTCTGACAAGATGTTCCCCATACCGGGAAAAATAAACATGATCTATGAAGGAGAACCCTCCAAGTCACTCAACCAGTAAAACTGAAATAATTCAGAATGTACGAACATGTTGACTCTCGACTGTGCTTAGATAAATATTTTGTATTTTCTCATCAAACAACATTTATGCAGTGAATCTACAGAGTAAAATCCTGACCTTCATGTCAACCTCCATAGCTCATTCTGTCATGTTGGACCAACGCATCTCTGGGCCGGACCCTGACTGACACTGAGTTTTTTTTCCCAGTCAGCCATGGATGGTGGAGTTCAGGTGTCTTCTGTCTGGCCAGACGTGGTCTCTTAGGTTGAGCAGGGATTTTTCTTCTTAATCCAGAGCAGTTAATGCCGGAACCACAGGAGGGTTTAACTGCAGTCTAACCCTGACTTTGGCTCCAAGATTACAGAGTGAAGATTCTGAACAAAAGTAGGTACGTATATTTAAAGCATGAGTTCTGTTTGCTTGTCCACCTACATGGTTTATCCACATTTAGCCTCAGTTTCAGGCTTTTCTTTTGATCAGCCTTTTTCGGTGTTGGTTTAGTTATTATTGAGTATAGTTATTCATGTTTTCACAGTTTCTGCTGGCTCCACTGTGCCATCTTCCTCTCTCTCTCCCTCAGCCTGCCTTCTCCTCCCCCCCTCACAGCTGCACCCAGTTATCAATCAGTCTCGTTTCATCGTTCCAGCACTGACAGTTCCAGTTGACTTCATTCCTCACTGAATTTTTCTGTTGCCTCCTTCTACCTGATTTCTGTTTGTTCTTGCTCTCGCTCCTTGTTGCTTTGTGACTCATTGGTTTGTTATTTTCTCATGAATTAACCACCGTCTTCTCGCCACCTCTAATCCTCACAACGACGCACCGCAACGATACCAATCACTTCCACGCTTTTGGCTACAATTTCCTCCGATATTATTTTGTGAAGATTAGTCTCTAAGCATCTTTTATTTATCTTTTTTTTTTTGTCATATTTTACATCAATCCCAAAACGCCACACTGGTCGTCATCATTTCTTTCTCTGTCTGTCTGTGTGCAATAAGTTGATCCACATTTCTTTGGTTGAGCTCACGCATGGTACCGGTTCTGTGCCTCTTCGGTTAACCCGTCACTATCTGTCTGTCTCTCGTTGCACTAACTCAACTCAACTGTGATCAGCGCACAGAAGTTGTGAAAATGCGATGTCGCCACATTTTTTGTGTGACGTCACCAGGTTGGATTTTTATTTATTTATTCTTCTCTGACCTTTGCACCACAAACGCATGTGCCCCGTGACTGTTTGGGAACCCCCCCCCCCCCCCTCCCTCCCCCCTGCCGGGTTCCCAAACAGTCAGAGGTACAGAATCTTCTGGCATTGGATAACACCGGCTGGCTTGAGGCAGAAGTTAAGCTTGAGGTCAATCGAGGACGCTTGGAGGACACAAAGTGAGCATTCAGGTCAGCTCAGCAGCTGTGTCAACCCACATAACTTTGAAGAGCCAGGATTGGTTTGTGCCAGTGGGGCTGTTACCTGGGGCCACGCTGGTGCCTCACATACACAAATATTAGTTCTGACTGAGCTGTCGGAGGTTCAAGCCCTGACCTTCGACCCCTTTGCTACGTCTTTCCCCCCATTCTCTCTGTTTACAGCGAGGGACGATTAATGTACTTATTTTGTCAGGTGTGATCTTTGTACAAAGGTCCTTCACAAAACATCAGACATGACAGCTTGTGTGCTTTCTTCCCTTTAAGTCTCCCACATCAAATTGACCCTTTATTAAAATTATACGCATGTATTACTTGGTACTTTTTGTACTGCAGAGCTGTACAACTGAAACTGCTCATCAGTCATGCGCTGGAGTCAGTATACCTACAGGAAAAATGTAATCGTTGAAACTGTTTGTTTTTTTTGGCCAATAATTAAAAATAAAAAGGCAGCACAAAATGGCAAGTGATAAAACAGATAGGTTTGCCGGATGTTTTACGTTTTTATGTCTGCTGTATGGTAATAAGGCTGTATAGTATTTGTTAGACGCTATTGTCCAACAACTACTTATTCCTTTCCCGGCTATTAAATGACTTCCTCTGGAGTTACAAGCAACACCTATCAAAATGTAACATTATGAGATGTGACCTAAGCATACAGTAATTTGAATTTGAAACTGTAGTGTTTACATGGAGCCATTGAATATTTGATCTTGGAGACCTTCTCAAGCTAATATATCTGAAATGCAGGTCTCGTTCAAGTCAACTGCATGGTTTTTAATTGAACGTCACAATCATAATTTGTTTCATCCTTTTTTTTAAATCTCAAAACCACAAAGTTTAATGTCGACATTATGACTTTGTGTCTCATAATTATGATCTGTCATCAATTCTGACTTCATCTCATTCGTTTGACTTTGTATTTTATGAGTACAAATGAGTTGAATAAAATTGTACGAATCAATTTATTTTTTCATTTTTTATTTATTTATTTTTAATAATAAATAAATCAAAATGATGTGAGAAACGACGCCGAGATTCAAAGCGGAGGTTCCGACCTGAGGGGGCGGGACTTATCATTTGTTTTCAAAATAAAGGTCTCAGGCCACGGACGCTCGCGTTGCGCATTTCCGTCGCCATAACGTCACTTCTGGACGTCAATATGCGGCTCGGTGCGGCGCTGGGAAACAGCCGCTGAAAGGATGGAAACTAAGTAACCAGCGAAGCCTTTCCGTCAGCGAGGAGCCTCCAGGGAAACGCCGCGACCGCGTCGATAAGCAAGGAGCCCCCCGCAGACTGACAGCAGCTCCCCTGGGTGGTTATCCCCCCCGAAGCGGCGGACCGCCTGCCTCAAGCAGCCATCTTTTTGTGAGAGAATGGACGGGGCGACGCGGCGGGCCTGCTCGGGCTACGGCCCCGGCCGGAGCTTGCTGATGCTCTCCACCGCGCTGCTGCTCTCGGCCGTCGCTCTGCTCTCCGGGCTGCCGGGTTTCGCCGAGGCGAAGGAATGCGACAAGCCCTGTCTGAACGGGCAGTGTAACGCCGCCACGGGCAGCTGTGTGTGTTTCCCCGGCTGGGTCGGGGACCAATGCCAGCACTGCGGAGGGAGATTCAGGTACACCGAGCTCAGCGCGCCGCTGCTTTAATCTCTGACCGGTTCAGGTGGTTCGCTGCCGGCTAGAAACGGCAGAGCTGCCGCCGCTGTTCCGGTCTCTGCTACAACACAGGGACTAATGTGAAACCTTAATGGTAATGAGAGGAAATGAGTTTAAAAGGTCTGGACACAGTTTAGCACACCGACAAGGCTTCCCGCTGAGAATGGTCCAAATCAACATTTCTTTATTTGTGGAGGCTGTTAATTTAAAAAAATTGTTGACACTTTAAATGTCACAACCACAAACCTCAAGAGTGTGTCTTTAGGCTTTTATGTGACAAACCTATCAAGTGCAAAGAAGCTGTGAGAACATTATTTATTTATTTATTTATTTTAACACATAAAAATGACATCTGCACATTTGACTGGTGTTACAGCTGCACACATTTTGGGTGAACTAATAGCTAATGTGTCTTATCCACACATTGGCATTTTTGCCAGTTCCTCTTTTCACAGCAGCTGGAGCTCAGTCTGATTGGATGACAAGGCTCTGAACATCAATTTTCAACCACTGAAACTCTTATAGACGAGTCTGGTTATATGTCTGAAGGCTCACACTTTCTGTAAGAGTTTTTTTGGTTTTTATCCGGCTTCTTTTGTCTTCCCATAAACTCCTAACCCATCATCTCCGAGATGCACCGCTGCGCTGATCATAGGGCTCCTTTTGCAAATGGCAAAAATGAATATTTTTATTAGATGTGCAAAGCTGGTGGAGATCTTGCCTAAGAGACAGGCAGAGAAAGATGGTTGGAGAAGTCACCGGTTGCCTCATTGAGACTAAATTTGTACGCAAACATTTTTGTAAACAACTTCCCTTTGTTCTTTAAAATTATTCAAATAAGTCAGGTTATTACTTGGTCTGTCACGCAACATTCGAAAAAGGTACGTTGCAGTTTGGCTTTGTCACATGACATGTAAAAGAAAAAAAGAGAGTTGGGAAACTTTTTCAAGGCATTGATGTGACTTCTTCCAATTTCCATCCAAAGAAAGTGGGAGAAAAAATGAGTGTGATGGGAATGCCTCTAGACCCGTACATGATCCTTGAAAACCCTGATGTTCAAGGGAGAGAGCCAGATAGCGGAAATGATGTAACAATTCATAATGTGGTGGCAAATACAGAAAACGCTTCGCAAATTGTCCCCAGTGTAGAATGTGGAATGCAGCAGCTCCATCTTAACGTCCTCTCGTATCACTAAAGTTTAAAAAAATAAAAAATTACAAACAGCCTTTTATTGTCCCAAAAAGGGGAAGTTTAGGTGTAACGGGTGCATCAGACATAATGGTTCACACACAAAAAAAAGTTGTGAAAGTGTTAAAAACAATGCATGTAAAAACCCACATTAAAAATAAATCATAATGTACTGTACGAGACTATAAAAGAAAATACTGAGCAGTTCTTAGAAACAGACAAATCAGACTCATGATCCAAGGAATGTCAGTTCACTTCCACCCACCCACCCAAAAAAAAGACATGTTATTCACATGTTTTAAACAAGCCTATTTACAATACAGTACACACCAGTGCAGAAAATCTGAAGTGGACATTTTATTAAAAATGAGTGAAAATGTAACGTACCACACCATGTATGTTCTACTTTGATATTAAATAAATTTCTTAATAAAAAAAAAATCTTAGTTAAAATATAAGACGGTGCAAATGATTGTGAAAATACCAGCAGGAATGTAAAGACATTGATTTTAAGAGCAGGAAAAAATACATTACAGTTTCACTGAGAGGGGAAAAAAAACCCAATCTGCATCACATGATGACAGCTTCACTTAGCCTGACCGAGTGCTGATCATATTACTGACTGCTTTGGACAGCATTACTCTTCTCTGAACATCATCCCACCGGTTCGACACAAACGAGCAGCGGAGTGAAAGATGGCTCTTCCCCTCGTTTACTGTCTCTGGACCCTGAATTGAGTCGAATGTGGAAGCCAGCCTTCCTGACGTTTGCAGCGCGTTAGCGTGCCTTCGCCGGCTGAGCGCCGATTCAGTGTGGGCGCCATCTTTCCTTGGGTTTAATTTGTTACCTCGTGTCATGCTGCCTCAGCACATTGCCAACTGTAAAGTTGAGCCTGTGGAAGCCAGGCCATGTTGTGCTGTGTGTGGCTCAGCGGTCGGACGACGGAAAGCAAGCCCAGCCAGTTGCTGAGCACATGTGAGGGTAGATGCTGTCTGGACGGAGCGGTTTGCCTTTGGTCGTGGTTACACTAAGAAAAATAACAATAATAAAAAAGACTGATGGCTGAAATTCTACATGCTCAAGACCACCAGCACGACGGATTTGGCCAACAACAATCTTAGATTTGTGGCCCTTTTTCTAATAGAATTTTCTCACTTATCATCTGACTACATAATTCTGTGGTGTTTGTGAAGCTTGGAACTCTTAAAAGGCAACAGAATAGTTTCGATGTCTATTTTGCGCGATAATTCAAATTTACAACCCAAAAAGACATTGGTATTGGTCATAACAATCAAAGGTCGACAGTAAAACAATTCGACCATTTGAAGCAAACTAAAGACATAAAGCTGCGTCATTGAAAGCTGTGACAAAATCCCAAAGGTTACGATGCAAACATAACCTTGCTGGTAATCTGTACTAACAAACCCAGCGGCGAGAAAGTAAAAGTTGCAGCATAAGTTCCTTTGTGTAGACGTAATATCAGCAGATTAAAGATTCAGTTTTTCTAGAAGAATGCATTAAAATTAAGTGAAAAAAGTTGTTTGAAGATAAAAAAGCTTCTATAGACCAACTCCCTTCATGTGGTTCTTTCAAAACAGGCTCAGTTGTTTTCACAGTCATTTCAAAGTGCTGCTACTGACAGTAATTTAATATTGAGGTGTTCCTCTATCTGTAAAACTGACAGCAAAGTATATCTTCACAAGTTTCTCAGTGTTCCTCATTTAATTTTTTATTTTTTTGTTCTCGTAAAATTACTGCTTCATTCTCCAAATATTATGACGTTATTCTGGTCCTACGGAGACTTTGTTCTCATAATATTTCGATTTCATTGTTGTACAACTTCACTCTTGTGTCTTTATGACTGTATCCTTTTAAATTTCTGACTTTATTCTTGTAATTAAAAATAAGATAAATCTTGACTTGACCTTAATGTCCTGTCAGAGCTGACCTGAATCAAAAGTCTCAATAAATAGAAGCTGTAAAACATGCTTACCAAACAAGATGATAGGCCAAAAATCAGACTAAGCTATAAAATCAATTTTATTACTTGTAGATACAAAGTTTATGCTGCTTCTCTGTAACAGTTGATTGTAAATTAGTTAGTTAGTGTTTGGAGAGAGCAGCTGCTATCACGCAGCTCTGCAGTCAAACAGGATTTCACTGTTATCTCACTGAGTTCCACGTATGATTTAATAGCTAGTGGTTTGTGTTGATGATAAACTGGAGGATTACCTACAGCTTGTATGATCTCTCTTTTTAAACTTGTTCCTCTAGCACAGGGATGGGCAACTCCAGGCCTGGAGGGCTGGGCTCCTGCAACTTTTAGACCTTCACTGGAGGTGATTCAGTTATTGGATTTAAGTGTGTTGGACCAGGGAGACATCTAAGAGTTGCAGGACACCAGCCCTCGAGGACCAGGATCAGCAGCGTTTCCCACAAATGTTCCGAATTCATCATGAACTTTGAGTCTTTAAAATATAAAATGGAGCAATGTTGCTAAGGTGACCTTTGATTGTGGAATTATTCTTACATTTCTGTGTACCTCTCGCTGAATTTTTAAAGACCTCACGCTCAATTAAAGACAGCACCTTTATTGGCTTTTTTTGTGTTTTTTTTTTCCAATCTCCTGAACAGCCAATTACTGATTAGGATCTGTCAGTTCCAGTCGTCAGGTAATTTTTCAAGGCATCACAAACGTTACACTATCGGTACATTTTAGCCAGTTATATACCCACCTGTTGCCCAGTTTGCCAAAAGAAAAAGAAGGGACCGAGCTACTCGATGTGAAAATCTGAACTTGATGCTCCATGGCTCTGAAATCAGATTTTGAACTTTCAGTTCCCTTGTTGTGTGTTTCACAATCAATGAAGTTCCCCTTCACTCCTGTTCAGAAACTTAGTTCTTCCGAGCCACTAAAGTGTTGATGCTGTGACCGAATTCCCAATAAGAACCTAGAAATGCACGGCACACACTCCCCAATGGAAAGTCTATCAGATTAAGCTAGCCAATTTATTTGGTACAAGCCACATTTGCTGTCCATGTTCATTATATACCTATTTTAGTCAGGTTATCTATCTCCAAGTGGAAGGGTAAACTCTGTTTTTTCCACTATGTGGTTTATCACTGGCTTTGATTAAAAAACTGCTGGTTTTTCAGAGGGGAGCCTGATGTCTGCGTCTGTATTTAGCATACAGACAATGCTGCCATACAAGGCTCACGAACCCAGACTGGTATACATTTTTGCTGCTTTAGATTGGTTTCCTGTGTTACTTTTATTAGTTTTACTCCCAAGTTGTAGCCATAATTATTGCTTGTATTATTGATACCCAAAGGCTGAGCAAATTAAATGATAAATTATAGCAACAGAAGTCGAGTCTGTCCTTCTTGGTTGGCACCAAAAAGCACTCCCAAGGGCAAGCCATGGCATTTTTATTAGTATGAGATGGTTTTGTGAAGAGTCCTGTTTTTAGATGGATTGAGGTCTTGAGTCGCTATTCTTTTGCAGACGGACAGATTTGTGAATAAGGTCCTTGTCTGTGCAACATAGAGCCAGTGTACGCCTCTGACGTGTGTTCACTTACAGACACGAACTCTGACTCTTTGGCTTTCTAATGTAATTAATGTGTAACTGTGTACCAGCGCCATGAGCTGAAAGAGTTTTGCGCTTGTAGAATTTATGAAAATAGATTCTACAATAATTTCTTGGAAGGCACTTAAAAGAAACGATGTTTCAGGCAGTCTAATCTGCTTTATGTATGCTAACGGGTGGGTTTTGAATTAGTCTAAGATTTTAACCTCATGTGTTAGTTTGACTAAGATGCTTCAAATATTTCGCAAAAAGCCAATGTTGAGTTGGAGACGATGGCATCTGAAAATTGTGCTTCTCGACTTGTTAATCTAAAAAAGCCCTGAGTCTTAAACTAGTATAAATAAATAAATTTAATAATTAACCATGTATTGCAGTACTAGCTAATAGCTTACCATGCTATCTGCCTCTCAATTCCCATCCAAAGCAGCACATGATGTATTGGTTAGCTGACTCTGCTAAAGTTAAGTGGGTCATCCAAAGCTGATGAGTCGACAAACAGTTTAATTGCTGTCATATCAGATTTTGTGTACTGATTACAAATGTGGTTGTGTTTTGTCCTATTTAAGGCACCACAACATGTAATTCTTTAATATCTGAGTTTTTCTTGATGTAAAGTGAAAGTAGATGAAGCAGGTTTCATTATTTTTTTCTGGTTAGCGTTAGTACTTAGCAAAGTAATAATGTTCATTGACCATTCTTAGTTTTTCTTTTGTTTTTTGTTTTATTTTAATTGTGCAGTGCACAGATAAATTCTCCCCTATTTCCTGGATTTTGGAAGATCGGCAATTGGACGATACTTGTCTGAGAAGCCAGTCTTATTTACTGCCACAGATTTCTGAAAGTCAGCCACTGTCCACTTTTGTTGATAGATAGATATATACACAAATTTTTATTTTCATGATGCAAAGACAAACATAAATTGATTTTAATTTGGTTTTATGGATGCTAAGTTTACCTCAAATGGCAAAGGAGATGAAAAAGAGGCTTCATAGATCGAAAGGAAATGAAGTGGATTAGCATCTTCTGCTAGCATCCAGTGTTGTATGAATTCTCCAATATTTTCTGGGTACAGTTCTTTTAATGTGTCAAAATGTGGAGGAGGTAGACAGAAATCACATGTCTGTGTCAGTAGAAATGTTTTTTTGTTTTTTTAAATAAGTGAAAAGAAAGGTGCTAAAGAAGCTGTGTGCTCGCTGCTGGGTGGCACGTTGGGATCAGAAGTGTCTGAAGCCGCTTTTTGTTTGAAGGAGCTCAGCTTGTCTGCCAGCTGAGAGTCCCTGTTTGCCCCGGAGAGCCGTGATTACCGGCTAACCGCTGAATTGATACTCACATCTTCACCTGCTCTCTCAAAGCAGTTAGCAAGCTGTGAACCTGTGATACTAACCCGAACCGTCAGCAGGAATTTGTTCTCTCTGCGGTTATTTAGGACTTATAAGTGAGTCTGTCACAATAAGAAATAAATCAATTAATTGCACGATTAATTGAATTGAGTGTGATCATTTCCATTTGGACAACAGCCGAAATTTTGAGAAACATTAGGAAAACACTTTTGCCGTGTTTTTCTTGTCCTGGGTGAATGATTGTCATTGGAAATACAATTTCAATCATCCATTTTAATTGTTTTTTATTTTGGAGATTTAAATTGCAGTTGCAAGCGTCAGATGTTCTTTAAAGCTTTTCTTTCTTATCTTTGATTGGGTGTATTTGCATTATTGTGCCATTATTATAATTACTCACTGAAAATGACCTCAAAATGACAATATTATCGTTTATTGCAATAATTTCTGGGGCAATGTATCGCCTGAGTAAATTTATAGTAATGTCAGGCCCTCTTATGGCTACTGCAGATACTACTACCACATTTAGAAAAAAAAAAGAAGAAAATTCAGAGAAAGCAAAAAAATTCAGATTCATCTCAGAAGATTTTCTTGGAATTCTCCGCCTCTTTTAATGTTTACATCTACAATGTTCGTCACAAGATACGCAGTGGTAGCGTTTAGTGCAGCACTGTCATATGTTTGTCATTCTCTTAAAAACACCCTTGCCAATGGACTTTGAGCCTCCCAACCCAAACAACCGCCTGCAGGTGTAGACCTGTCCCTCTGTGGCTTCAGTAAACCTTTCACAAACAAGAGGTTGCAGCGCACTTGTTGCCTAGATATAAATAAAGTAATCTTTCACAACACACATGGCTAGAACTATCAAAGTTTCGTAGGTTTCGGTTTCCAGATCCTCTAAATCTTGCGAGATCTGTCAGAATAACATCTGGGTTCAGAGGTTTCTAGAGGCTGGAGGTGTAATCTTTGGGCCGAGTCGCGCGGCTCAGCAATCGATGCGCGTTCTGGGCTTGGCCGTCTCTGCTGACTTTAAGGTGAGACTGTTGTGGAAAACGACGGTCTGGGGCGCGTCAGTGGCTTGCTGCTGTTAATGATTATGCTCCCTTGCTCCCCAGAGCCGGCGAGCTTCCCTCTGCTGGCAACAACAGGCCGTACTGTACAATTACCATCGTTTGTGTCATGGCTTCCCATAATTTGCCGTGAGGCTCAATCATCTTTCCTCTCTCTGTGGCTCACTCATCCACTGCCTGAAGTGACGTGTGGCAGCAGAAATTGGCGTTTACCTGAACTCATTGATCTGCTGGTCAACTCTTGTGCAACAGTGCAAAGTTGTTTTTGTTTATTTTAATGCTGTATTGTGACACGATTTGCGCAATTATCGAAATGTGGAACTATTTGTAGGTTTTGATTAAACATTTTTCTTATTTTACAATTTTCTTACTTTTAGTATCATGTAAAAGTGACATTGTTGAGCTCGACATCATATTAAGTTATTCCCTTTTGTCCATGTTTGAGAAATTCTTTAATTTCCAATGGCAAAACCATTCAGCTGTGCAAAACATCTGGGTGGTCGTAGCTCCGCCTTCGAGACGCAGCTCGACCTATCAGGCTTCTGCTTCACAGAGCAGTCCTTCCACTCTAGCCTCCTTCAGACTAGCCAGCAGCAATTAGCAAACGCCTGGTGGGACTGTGCATCTGCTGAGCTCATTAAAGGAGCTCCGTCTCAGTGCAATGTTGGAGCTGGAGCTTCTTAAAAAGACAGAGGCCCAATTTTAAGGCACTAAATTACAAAGTCAAATTTGTTTAAAAGACTTTTTACATTAAATTTCTTCTTTCTTTCTGTCTCATTTCTCCTCTAGGCTCACAGGACCGTCTGGTTACCTGACTGATGGGCCAGGAAACTATCAGTACAAGACAAAGTGCACCTGGCTTATCGAGGGACAGTAAGTACAGTGCAAACTCACGACCATTAGACCAGCAGTCACAGCGCCTGAACAAAATACTCATATCATTTGAACTTTTTTTCCCCACATTTTAAGGAAATGATACGTGAAATGATATATGTTGGAAATCTTAACGGTGAAGCTCTATGGTTAAGTGTGGAAATTGATGTTTTAATTATAGCCATGATAGCTGTGCTAATCACAAATATAGGATGCTAAAGAGTACTCTAAATGTCAAATATGGCATAATTTGTCTTAAAATGATAGTAAAACTATCAAAAATGTGCACTTGTGCAAACCTTTCCCAACTGGGTATCATGGGTGAAATCATAAGGCGTATCTTCAGCAGAACGACTACTACTGAAAATTAAAACATCTTTTTCTTATTAAAAAAATACATAATTTTTTTTATTATTAAAAAATTTTAAAATACAATCTAAACTGGGTCAGATTCTTTAAAACACACTTCATAATTTGACATAATCCTACTTTTTAGAGGAAAAAAAAGTGACAATTTCAATGATTGAATTACCATTTAAATTACCTTAAACCATTGAAGCTGCCTTCAAGACTAAAACTAAAATGGATTATTACCCCTGCAATAAAAACCACTTTTTGTTTCCACAAATGGAAAATAAGTTTTCATAAATCACAAACTGTTGTTTTCAAGAATATATCTTCGAGATAGAACGGTTCTGCCCAATTTTATCCCTTGTTAAGTGTTTAAATTATTACATACTTAACCAAAGGTTGTCCAGAGATTCCATGTTAAAAGTTAAACATTACTGAACAGACAATCTCACCACATGAACACGATTTCCTCTGTTGAAAAGAAGAAAATAACCACATATCACACCCAATATTGACCTTGGAATCTTTACCAATATTATCGCCTATTACTGCCATAGGTAAAGTTATGCACCACATCGTGACTTTAATGCAACAACATGTATCCATTTGGAGTCGTCACAAAGTCCTAATGTACCTGTGTTGATGCTCCTGCACTGTGTTAAGCAGCAGTCGTGCTGCTGCTTCATGAGAACTCTGATGTTCTCAGAAACTTAAAGCGAAACTGTCATCAAAAGTTTCTGTAATGCATGGCAGTTCTATCAATAACATGGAACTCGTTCTACTCTGTACAACACAACAATAAAACTCGCTATCAATATTTTATGTTTAACTTATGGTGTCAACCAATCCCTGCACTGATCCATTTTTTATCACTTCCGATACCGATATATCTGAAGTTTGATATCGGCCGATACCAATTGAATATAGGAAAACAGCGCTAAATTGACTTAAGACAATTTTTTTAAACACATACATAAATATACTGAATTATTTTTTGCTAACTCTGCACCAGAACAACATACTTAAATGCACCAACAACTTCATAAGCTGTCTGTGAGTTGACATGTTTTTAATGTCAGACATGAAAAACAACTTTTAATTTATTCAGTCAGTGCATTTAGGAGTAGAACAACCAATGGAAAATAAAAAAAGGAAATTGAATGTGAAATAAACAATATGTTGGCTTGTTCAAACATGCAAACATAAACTGCATCAAACTTTCTGTCAAAATGGTTCTAAAATTTTATGTAAAAATAATAAACTGGTTCAGTTCTTTCTACATAGATAAGAACTTCCTCTCTCTCTCTGTCCCTATAATGAATTGGCAAATTATTCAAGTTACACCCTGCCTCTCGCCGATGACTGGGTGAGAAAAGCACCTGCTCCCCCACAGCTCTGGACACTGTGGACATGATTTGCTCAGTTTGTTCTCTCCAGTTTTACTTGTTTGGAGTCTTTTTTTGGGGGGGTTACATAATCTCTTTGCAATGTGTGGAGGTGGACTCTGCTGCTCAGTTCCACTCTAAAGCCTGGGTGAAGTGCAATCTGCTGCTGTCAAGTGGGGCTGAACAACATGGCTGAAAAATGTATCACAATATAAGGATTTCATCGTATCATTTGATATTGATCATTATTGATTAGTTTTTATTAGTTTTAAATATATGAAATGCTGCCAGACTGGTGTTGGAAACAGTTTTTTTTTTTAAGCAGCTATGAAGCACGTTGGCGAAAGCTGAAGCTACTGTTGCGCAAGTTACTTGACCAAAGAGAAAGTGACTTACAGTAGCTGATGCGACCTTGGTTGCTTAACTAGTTATTTGTATATGAATATGTATAAGAGTGGTTGATTGTGACACAGATTTCTTTCATAATTCCATAATTCAGCCATTGTTATTTCCCATCTGGTCTGGCTTTCCCCGGTGCAAATTTGTGACATGCGTCACACTGATGACTTAAAAGCTGAATCAAATGCGATATGCCTATTCAGACTGCAGACATTTTGAAAACAATCGGACTAATACCATGTATGGAAGTGTCTCAAATCTGATTTTCATTTTTCATTTTTTTTCAAGTTCAGAATTTTTCACAGCGATTCAGACGGTAGTGCGAGCTATAGGTCGCATATGGGCTTTCGGCTGCTTTGTGAACGTAGCCTGTGATGAAGCTGAACAATCACATTTGGGTCAACAAAATGCTGGATGTTAGCTGTACTGTTCTTGGGTAGTTATTAAGCCAGGTACCAGAAGAACACCTATCTACAGACAATATCTGGTGGAAAAAACAGAATCCATCCAAAATCGTCAGTCCTTCATAAAGTTTAAAATGCTTTTATACCTTTAAAGACAATTTTTACCCCGTTAATTGAAATTAGTTTTGAAATGAGCCTTTTATTTCCTTCCTGAAATCAGAAACATTTGCTAGGAACAACAGCCAACTCATAAAAGTCGTTCTGTGCAGAATCCGTCTCTCTGATCCGCCGAGGTTTAGGGAGATAGTTTCCAGACACTGACGGATGAAAATTGGGAACAAAGTAACTGCAAGAAATCCAATACTGCCTATTGTTTTAGGTCAGCATATCAGCTTCCCAGAGGACGGATCGGACGAGCCAAGCTCATAAATCTTAGCCTGCAAATTTATCAACACCAATAAATGTGTCGAGCACTAAAGAAGCTCCCTCTGATCAAAAGGGAATCCAAAAGATGAACATCATGATGTCTTACTTTCCATTATGAGAACGAGAATCCATTCTGTATAGACATGTCTTTTTTTTTTCTTTTCTTTTTTTTTAAATGCCCCACTGTGACACCATTCATTAGCAGCATGTAGTGTCTTAAGAAGTATTCACGCCGCTTAAACTTTTCCACATTGCCTTATGTTATAAACATAAGACTAATATTTAGTGTACTGGAGGCGACACAGTGCATTACACCAGAATTGGTTTTTCAAATTTATATTCGTATTGGTGGCATATTTTCATACATCACACTGAATAAGTAGTGAAAGACTCTATATGGCACCCAGCAGCACCCTCACAGAAAATTCCAGTAAGAAAGATTGAATTTCATTGTTGTGACATTCAGTTCTCTTCAGATGTCACATGAACCTTAAAGGAAGGTAGAAAGAGATGGATTGAATTGATGACTTTGCATTAATAACTTTAAACGGGCTATTTGCGCTTCTTTAGAAAGTCTTAAATTCATGTATCTGAAATGAAGTCATGACAATTAAATGAAGTCCTGACTATGTCCGAATAAAAATGGAGAGCCACAGACGCAACTGTGATGACAAACAAGGAGAAAGATCAAAAAAAGGAACTGTAATTAATGCATCAAGCTAAAGAAAAAATGTGACTAAATGGTTAAAATATGCTCAAAAATTGTTAATCTCACAAATAGTACCAGTTGTTCTTCAATAGTTTTCCATCCATTCAAAAAGTAGCAAGCTAGCTTGATATTTTTTGGAAGCTAGCGAGCTATTTGCTGCGGTACAGGTCATATTTTCATTTACAATGGTGTTAAAAAGATTAAATTCAAGCAGATGAAACGTGCAGAACCCCTTTTACTGTAAAAGGAATAACTTTGTACAATCTGACATGTTTTCCTTAAATTAGATGGCTTGCAGTGACGTGACCCATGAAGACATTGTGACCTGGTTTGTGTGTTTTGTTTTGTTTCGTTTTGTTTTGGGGCTTTTTATCCTACGCTCAAAGAAATGTACTAGCTGCTGCAAATGTAGAAGAGGACATTTCTTTGTTGCGCCCCCTTAGCCTGTCCACAGTTTGTGTGACTGGTCACAAGTCTTGTCCTGTAATGAAGAGGCTCGGGGGCTGCTGTCATGCCTAGTTTAAGTTTTCCTCTCAGAGAGGGGACGAATGAATCGCCACTTTGCTTGAATGAAGAAACATTTTTAGGAAAAAAATGTGACCATTCATAACACATTTCCTACATCCTGTATTTCACCAAAGAAGCGCAGAAGGGATCTTTGTTCTCTTGTGAGTGCTTTCGTTTCGGGACGTTAAATGGATTTGCAGCTGAGACATATTTTTATGAATCTCATGTTTTTTTGTCAAAGCCTCAGAAAGGAGGCTTGCTCTCCTGTCTGCTGCCGCTGGTGGTCAAATTTAGTGATGCATCAATCAAATGGCTATGATTGGCATGTGAATTGGCTCCAAAAAACCCAACTTTTTTCGTTCATTAAATGCACTGGCACTGAACAGCCCAACCATTGTCTGTAAAGTCATGAACAAAATGGTTTGTTTTGAGTTGAATAAGAACTCTTGATGAAACGTATCAAAAACTCAAAATTGGCAGCAAATTTGTACTTTTTTTTTTAGAAGACAAATTGCGTCATTATGTCGTCATTGGAAACACAACTATAGTTTGAAGGATTTAGTTGTTGCGTTTTGAAACAAAAATACACTAGTAAATGGAAATCAACTGGTCAGACAACTGGGAATTGGTAAAGACCAGTAAAAGCCTGATTGGTTCAGTGAATTCCTCTTAAGCAATGTGAAATTATCAGTCTTGCTGAATGTTCATTCAGGTTTCAGTTTTTAGTTCTAGTAAAATAATGCTTGTACTTTGCTTAAGCCTCTTTTCTTCTGTCTGGTTCCTAATATTGATTAGCATTTTGCTTTTCTAGATGGAAATCTAACCTCAACTTTTCAGATTCTAAGAGAGATACTGAGTAGCAGGAGTAGCTTAACTCTGATTTGTTCTTTGGAGACTTTTGCATATCATTTCTTTTTTTTCTTGAGACGTTACTGTTTGGACTATTATTCCCTCTAGTTTTGTATTATTTTTACAATTGGGCGCCATGGATGAGACTCTCAAAAGCCCACATAATATGTGAATTATGACCCCCAAATCCCAGAGGACTTTAAAAGGAGGCTCTGTGGACGCAGAGCAGGACCTTAAAGACAAAATCTTTTGAAATTGACATGTTGGCATCTGTTTCTGAAAATGAAGATGAGTCTTCAGTGTCTGATATGTGCTTCCTAGAGGACGCAGATTCTTACTTTATGTGATTTCTATTGGTTGCTAAGATTTGCTGCTGCATGCTCTTTAGCCACAATAAAAAGAAACCATGTGGTAACATGTTCAGAATTCAGATCTGGTTCAAATGGCCTCTAATACTCTGATATGATCTTCTGTTGCAAACTGCTCCTTTCTGTAGCTTGGAAAAGTCAAGCATGTAATGACTAAAACTGCAGAAGTATGAAAAGTTGTGACTAAACAGTCAAGTTGTCTCTGTAGAAAATAAAGCGTGGAAGTCTTATATGTTAATTTAACTGCTTATCTATTTTGCTTTCTTGTTTTTAGTTGCCAGGGTGGTGCTACTGTTTTAATTATTATATCTGTACGTTTAAGTTTTATATTATTGCGTCTGTATCTTACAGTCGCTGCACTTCTGCTTTCAAAGACTTGTCATGATGGGACAACCGAGTATTTTTTTTAAATCTTCTCCTATATTAATGCTCCTTTTGAAAGGTTAGAATTGATATAAGCACTTCACACATTACTAGGTAATCTTTGCTCCGTCACAACTTCCACACTGAAGCAGGTTGTTGGCACATCCTGATAGCTTCACTATGTGTGTTTGCTGAACGGTTAAAGATCAGACTTGAGTTTCTCATCTGTAGGCTCTAATAGTTAAACTTCAAACATCCAGTCCCTTCTCAGGCAATTGAGCTTACATGACCAGCTCAGAGGTTTTAATTTTCCAGCCTTCTTTAAAATGTATTTTTTCTCTTAGTTATTTACCTCAGTAAAGATTGAAATATGAAACATGTTTTGCTGCTATATTGAGTGATCACCTTGGGAGTTTTATTGTTCCTTTCATTGTTTTAACTGGCAGCGCTCTCGTTGGAGGCCTGCTTCCTGTCCGTGTGTGTATGGATATAGCTTGTAAAATGTGTAATATAATTTTTCTTTTTTATGTGGGTGTTTTGTTAAGTACTTTTTTATCACTTCAGGATTTTTCCACTTTAATGTTAAAGAACAATAATCGCAAAAGTAGCTAACAGCAGTTTTAGAAACGGCCTGTTTGCAGAATCCATCACTTTTAAAGCTTTACTTGGACTCTTGGGCAAGAATACATTTCTATTTAAAACAGAAATGTGTTTACATGAACTATGACGAAACCTTAATGTTTTCGTTTAAATAGGAGAATATAATTAGCACACTGGTCTTTTAAATTTGTGAAACAAATCTCAAGTTCTTGCCACACATTTATGTAAAATGATCAATTTTAAATCAAGAACATCTTCCACTTCCTCACACAGATACAATAATAATAAAACTCTGATCTCTCCTGCAGGCCAAACACCGTTCTGAGATTACGATTCAACCACTTTGCCACTGAATGCAGTTGGGACCATCTCTACGTTTACGACGGCGACTCCATTTACGCACCGCTGCTCGCTGCTTTCAGGTTGGTATCCATCAGTGAGTTAGTAGATCCTTTCTTTATGCTGGAGTTCAATTTACCTTCAGCATATTTTCAGATTTTCGGTCTGGGTGTTGTGCTATCAAAACACAAAATAGTCCTTCTTTGATGATAGGTCAGAAAGTAGAATATTTTTCAAACACATTAACAAGTCCAATTAACAATTCTAGGAGTTCACCAAACAATCAGCCCAGATTTCCTTAGCTCTGGGTCATGGGCAATTGGTCAATACTTCAGTGAGAAACTAATCTTATCTATGTCCACAAACACAACAGCCACTCCACTCTTGTCAACTTTGAAACTTTGTCATAATATATATTGACTTTTCACAGTAAAAAATCGGCATCGGCCAAAATCAGAATTGGCAGGTCAGGCTATTCAAAGGTCTGTGATCGGCCAGAAAACTGCAATCGGTGCAGGCCTAAAGATTTACCTCAAGGTATTTAGAAATTTGCCAACTTCTGTGGAACCCTTAATATGTGATAACAAAACTGAAGAATTTTAAATTACTTGACACTTATTTTGTACAAATGAACAAATAAAAAAAATCCGTACGTTAAACTGTAGTGTTCGAACTGGGGATTGGTTTCACATAGGCCTACCATGTAAGGAAAGATTTGAGACATAACTATTTGTGTTTTTTTTTTGTTTTTCTTACAGTGGGTTGATTGTTCCGGAGCGATACGGGAATGAGACGGTTCCTGAGGTGGTGTCCCAGTCCGGCTACGCCCTGCTGCACTTCTTCAGTGATGCAGCCTATAACCTGACAGGCTTCAATATTTCATACAGGTGAGTTCTCCACCACGGTTACCACAATTTATATGTCGTTGCATATGCATGTGACAAAAAAAAAAAAAATCCCTTTTGCGTTGACTTTTTATAGTACACTATATTGACGATAAATGAATGATTATGTGGTGTCGTCTTATGATGAGTCCAGTCCATTAAGTTTGGGGTCTTAAACTTTGTTGGACTCTTGAATCTCATATTCTCATATGTGTAGTTTTTTGTCTTTGTGGGAGTTTTAGACAGGCAAAGCTTTGCCATAACCCGGTCCATCCTGTAATTAGGCTAGAAGGTGGCATTAAAAAGGTCTTAAAACGCCTTAAATTTGTCATCCTAAAGTCTCATGAAAAAAGACTATTTTTTCTGGTAATGCTTTTTTTTTTTAGTGGTACATTTTGACAAATGGGAAAAACAAATCCTTTAGGCATCAAATTTGCCTTAGAAAATCCCAAAAACGTTCAGACCCAAAGCAGAGCCCCTGTCCGGTGTTAACATCTCTAAAGAGCACAGCGGCTCCCCTCCCAGGCTCTTCCCTACTTCGTCGATACCGTTGCCATTACGACGAGAGTTGGCGCTGGCGGAGAAACACACAGTCTGAGCTGGATGAAGGCAGTGTGCCCCCGGGCGCTCCGTCTTTGGTGTCTGGGAAAGGCGGAGTAGCCAGAACATCAAACCTTTAACCAAAACAAGGAACATGAAAGAATGATGGGAGGGAGGCCCTTTGTGTCTTTCGTCTCGCTTCCAATGCCTGTTCAAGGAGAGAAATTAACATCTCACTGCTGTGTCCTGCTTTGATGGTTGAAAGCTTCAGTTTCAATCCAAATTTATGACACAACTTAGTTTTTATCCTTTGTAGAAAACATTCTTTCCTACCAGAAGTGTAAATTCTTCATAATTAAAAGAAGCCCTAAGGGTTTTTTTTCCCCCAGACGGTTTTGAGGCCTTATGTTGTCTTGATATGTAATTTTATAATTGCAAACTCTAACATTTTGAGAATAATTTTTCTCAGTGGAAACATGCCAATTTGGGAAAAAAAAGAAACATGTTTTTCAATCAAGTTTTGGCACTAGACTGATGTTTCTTTTTCTTTTTTTGGTTTTATCAAAATTGGTTTATATCACAAAACTGCAATGGAAACATTTTTTTTCCCCGTCACACGGTCAACCACCAGATGTTACCACTGGTACAAACCATGTGGAAGATTGTGACGGGTAGTAAAGCGTCATGGTGCAGCATGTTTTTTCTCATAATTTATTTAATGAAAAAACAGTCACATGTGATTTTAAATACGTTTCTCACGTAATGGAAACAATTATTATGCCTTTGTCATTATATTACTTGAACGAGTCAAAAGAACAATATTACAGTTTATCACAGTAACTTCTTGGACAATTCATTGTCCAGCAAAATTTGTTATTGTGACAGCCTTAACTAAGCCCTGTGTACAGATTCTAAGAATAAAGGCATCTGCAATAAATGTGTTTTGTCATCGTTTCCGTCTTTCTCCCCGTGTGCGTCTCCATGGTAGGGTCAACACGTGTCCCAACAACTGCTCTGGCCGCGGCGAGTGCCGGGTGGGGAACTCCACCGCCTCGGTTTACTGCGAGTGTGAATCCAACTGGAAGGGGGAAGCCTGCGACATCCCATACTGCCTGGATGACTGCGGTTTCCCTGAAAGGGGCCGCTGCCAGGGAAAGAGCTGCATCTGCAAAGCCGGATGGCAAGGTAGGCATTGCTTCTGCCGCTTCGCGTTCTGACATGAAATGTGACAAACCACAGCGCTTCCCACGTCCGGTTTTTTAAAGCACTCTATCAGAAGTGAAACTGAACGGTGGTCAAAAGCTTCACTATGCAGAATTATTAATATGAGATGTTCACTGAAGTACAGTCTGTTGCTTTTTGGTGTTTCTGATTCTCTTTCATACAGCCGCGGAGTTGTTTTTAGTAGGGAGGGAAAAAAGCCAAGAATTAGACTGGACAGCTTCACATGAAGCAGTGATTCTGTTTCATGTTGAGTTGTTCGATCACACTAAGAGATAACAGCTCAGAAAAACTTTTCTAACTGGCTTGGTTCTGCTCAGTCTGGTCTGTGTGTAAAAAAAAATAATTCTGTGTTTGGCTTTTAGGGCTCACACTCACATTTAAAAAAAAAGTGTTGCAGAAGCTGCCATGCGATTTGGTAAAGAAAGAAGAAGAATAGTCAACAACAATGGGTATGAAAACAATTGACCCATTTGTTAATAACCAATGGGTCGCGGGATACAAGCACTGCTGGGTTGAAATTCTGGGCCGGACTAAACCCTGGAGCATCTTAGTTTTTAGATGCAGGCTGATATAGTCTGATACTATATCAATACCAGTATCGGATCGGGACAACTCTTAACCTTTAGCCTACAAAACACCCCACACACCATCATCTCCCATTTAAACCATAATGTTTACTATGTGCACAAATAAAGCTAAAAGAGGGTGAATAAAGACGCAGCGGAGAGATTGCACCACTTATCCAATAAATTATTATTGGATTTGAAATGGATCTATTGTAAGTTGACAAAATGCTGTGAAATCGCCCTTTAGCACATGACCGAATCTCAAGCCAACTTCTCCATTGTGCTGCTTCCTGATTTGTGTCTAGTGCAAATAAATGAATGTTTTGTGATATGGAGTCTAAAATAATAAACTCCAACTACAGGAATCTGACAAAATGTTGAATTTTTAATCTGAAAAATGTGACAGAGCAACGTTTTCACACAACTCTAGAATAATTGTAAAAAATAGCAATAAGATATAACGATGTTTTATTTCATCTCTCTAGCACTATTATTTCAGCTCTGTGACTAAATGTGATGCTTCTGTTATTATCGAAGCGTTTGATGCCCTGAACATCCACCTGCTCTACTCAGAATGACTTAAACTTTTTGCCGATTCTGCTGCTTCTTGTTTTTTGTTGTTGTTGTTTTTTTGTGACATTATTGTGTCCCTGAACCTGGACCATCTGGCCCTTCCAGCTGCTTTGTTAGCTGCTCTAATGGCTCCGCGGCGCTGCTCTGCTCGAGCAGACACCACCGCTCAATTTAACCGCACTTATATCAGCAGCTCTGCGTGCTTATTATCTCATTACCAAAAGCTGAGGGAGGTTAGCAACAGACAGGCACTTTCTTTACCCTTTATTACCTTTGTCATGGGAGGCTTTTCACGGCGGAACTGCAGCCTCTCCTGCTTTTTTTACTGCCTTCTTCAGAGCCATCTCATTTTCTACGCCAACAAGAGCGAACGCGGGCAGATGTCTGTGAAGTCAAGCGGGCCTCGCGTCTGATCTTTTCGCTGCGGAAAACGACAGCAGTTTGAAGGACCAGAACGCTACAGTTTTTCGGAAAGTGCTGAAGAGCCAGAACGCCGCCAATGTTTTGCGCCATCAGAGATCAGAGATGAACTCTACCACAGGCAGCCGACGAGAAACAATCAATCTTTCCGTTTCTCGACTGCGATTTATTGCTAGCTGTTGTAGCAGAAAGGCTTTCCCTTTCCCCCCCATTCTCCGAGGATTCCGGTTTGTGTTGGCTGCATTGTTCTGGTTCATAAACACAGGAAGGCACCCATGACTGCTGCCATCTGCACTCGACCCAAAAAAGGCAACAGTTGGTGTTTCCAGAGTGAATGTACATAATTTTAATATGAAAAACTGAAATGTAAGGATGGATAGCTTTTTGTAAAACAAAAGCTGACCCGCCGATTCTGATTTTGGCCAATTTTTATTTATTTCTTTTATTTTTTATTTCTTTCATGTGAGCTAGTGGGCGGGTCAGTCAGCCTTCTCTCAAAACAGAGCAAATGATGTCAGTGGCTGAATTCCAGACCTCTGTGAAGGCTGACGGTCGACGGATAAGATTAGTTTCTCATGTAAATATTGGTTGATCAAAAATGAAGGAAATCTGGTCCAGTTTGCATCCCAACTAAAATGTCTATTTAAGCACAAACAGATTCACGACAAATATGTTGTCAACTCTGGCTTGTCACAATAAATCAATTAATTGCATGAGTCGTATTTTATATATATAACATTTTTATAGCAACTGAAAGTAACTTGGTTAGTCAATAGTCATAGAAAATGGCACAATGTGCCTGGAAAACACATAATATTGCCTTTTTAATAAGGTGCTCTGGTTCCTTGAGACTAAAATGCAAGCCACACTCTGACCCGTCGGTTCCGTCCCTCCTCAGGTCCGGACTGCTCCGTCTCGGTTCCCGCCAACTCTTCGTTTTGGAGCCGCGAGGAGCACCTGGAGCCCGGCCTGGCCAGGGCTTCCCACAAGGCCGTGGTGGAGCAGGGCGTCATGTGGGTCATCGGAGGCTACGTCTTCAACACGTCGGACTACCACATGGTCAAAGCGTGAGTAGTTCACCTGTTCAACCTGGGTTTACAGGCTGCGGTTCTGGTCCAAGTAGTTCTGGTCTGACTGCGGCGGTTAGAATGTGATCGATGGGCTTAAATGTTTCTAATGTGTTTGAGTGCAACAGCAGAATTTGCCTGTCACAGGGAATCCTCACTCTGGAAGTTTTACTGAGAAAATAAAAAACAGTGAGAATTTTTCTTCTCACACAAGAAAAGGCTAAAATGAAAATGTTTTTATGTCCAAAATAAGTTAAAGAATGGTCTTCATCTTAAACAACACCATTTTCTTAAAATAAAAAATCAAAGATCAAGATTGTTTTGGATTTTTTAAAATTTTTATCTATACCCTAAAGCACCAAAGAAATATGAGGGGAAAAATCAGAATATTGGTTTAAATATTTTTCCAGGAGTCAAAAAGGGATTAAAAAGAAAATAAGAGTTTAAATAGTGCTTTCATTTTTTCCTTCCTTTCTTGCGCCCTTTCCTCTTTCACTCTTCCTCTCATTTGTCCTTCTGTCCTTGTGCTCTACCTCCTTTCTTTCTGTCCTTCCTCTCTTTTCTTACGTCTCTTGTGTCTTCCTGCCTTCGGTCAATCATCCATTCATTTTATGCTGCATCCATCTCTTCCTTTCTTCTCTCCTTTCTTTCTTTATTTATTCATTGCAAAGAAATTTCCTTCCTTCCTTTCTTTTCCCTCTTCTATGCATCTTTGTGGCTGACCTCCCTTTTTCTTGTTCCTCCATGCTCACCTTCTCCCCTTTGCCTCTAGTTTCCTGTTTTTGCAGATTTCACATTGAGTACCCAACAGGGTTGGATAAGTTTATTTTCCTCCCTTCGGCCTGCCCCAAGTGTTTTTATGAGAATGGGCCAGCAGGTGGCATCACAGTCAGTCTGAACATCCCTGGTTGTTTCTGCTCCCACAAAAGACCCGTGGCTCGACCCTTTCCGTTTGCTCTCCTCTGTTAGGAGTGATTGACCTCCTGTAGATCAATCTGAGCAGCTTTGTTTGCTCATCAGAACAAATGAAGGGCTTGTTTCCCCTCCGTTTTGTTTTCCACAGACGGATGTGTTGCTTTTGAAACCGATACGTTTTCAAATCTCAACCAAAATCATTTTTCCGCTTCTTCCTTTTTTCTCTTAGTTACAACCTCAGCAGCAAGACCTGGCTGACCCTTGACCCCTCCGTCAACACGGTGACCCCTCGATATGGTCACTCACTAGCTCTGCACGAGGTGCGTGATACGATGCCGCGTGTGGCTTTATCTGTTTCCAAAAACACTCCATGAATGTTTTGTATAGTTAATTAGCCTCGAGTTCATGATGTTTAATGAAATAATAAGAAAATCAGGAACCTCTACACCAGAAACAAGCTTCTTTTTCTGGACTCGCAGCTTTTAATATGTGACTGTATCTAATGTAGAAATTTTCAGTTTATGATGTTTTGCTGCAGCATCTTAGGCAATTCGAGTCAGCATGTCTGAATCTGCTGATGGAATAATAAATCATAGTTGTGTCCTGATGTGCAGGACACAACAATTCTATATACCACATATTAATATGTGGTATATAGAATTAATTGTATCTTTCACTTTCAAAAAGATACGATTAATTTATTCATATTAATTAAGACAGTGTTGGTTCAACTAGCAGATTTTTTTCACTTAATACACCAGTAAAAAACAAAAACCTGAAAGAATCCTTCTTTCTTCCAGGGGAAAATCTACATGTATGGAGGAAAGATTGACTCGACCGGAAATGTGTCGAGTCAGCTGTGGGTTTTCCACATCCAGAACCAGACCTGGGTCCTTCTTAACCCCCGGCCCAAGGACCAGTACGCTGTGGTGGGACATTCGGCCCACATAGTGCCGCCCGCGCAAGAGTGGGACAGTCCCGTCATGCTGGTCCTGTTTGGACACTGTCCTCTTTACGGTTACATCAGCAATGTGCAGGAGTACAACATCGGTTAGTGCAGCTCCGGCTGTTTTCATGTTTTAACACTAACATGTAATCACCATTAATCGAATGAGTCACGTTTAATCAGTTCCTGACATAATCGTCAACTAATTTAGTAATCCATTAATTGCTAACTGGAATACACAGAGTCTAAAACAATGGACAATTTCTGAAAGAGTCACAGCTTTTGAGCAGCAATTAAGCTAAAATTGTACAAAAAGTAGAGCCATTTCTTCTGTCTGTAAAAAATGTTTTACCCAGAACTCTTCCAGTGGCCTGGTTTTAGCTTCACCTGGTTCAAATGATCTATAAATAAATATTGTGAGCACCTTTTGCAATACAAAAATTCAAAAATATTCAACCAATTAGTAAGCCGTATTTTTCTTAACTGCAGATGCATCCTTTGCGACAAATGATCGAACGGCAATAAAAAAGTTAATTTTCTTATTCAAAAAGTATCTGAATCATTTGCATCTTTTGATGTTTTCCAAATATATTATATAAGAAAAAGGTTAAGTGGTTAAATGAAAATCTGCAGAATGCGCCAAATTTTTTATGAGATTATTCGTCAGAATAGTCGATAGAATTTCGCAGAAATGATTGTCAGTAGCAGCGACGCTAAAGTGTTTGGCTGGCGGGAAACTTGACCTCAGTTAGAGCTGATCTCCCTGAGAAAACGGGACGAATGAAGCTTTGGCTTCGGCCGATTACTAATAAAGTGGAAATAATTAAAAATTTGTTACTCTAGCGATTGATAACCAAACGCTGTTGCGAGCTGAACAATAACTTGAACAGCCTTCGGAGACTCTTCCAGTCCGACTAATGAAACGCTGCATAAGCCGAGCCCTGCAGTTCAGAAGGCTTCAGTCTAAACCAGAAACACTGACACACCTTCTGTCTTGGCTGGTTTTTTTCTCTCTTTTTTTGCGCCCTTCTTTCCCTGTGGGATCTCATTACGTTTCAGCAACATAAGGCAGCTTTCCTTCCAGTTCCTCACTGACTCTGTTGTTTGACCTTCCAGTGAAGAACACATGGAGCGTGGTGAGTACAGACGGAGCGCTGGTCCAAGGCGGCTACGGCCACAGTAGCGTGTTTGACCCCAGCACCAGAGCCATCTACATCCACGGAGGCTACAAGGCCTTCAGTGCCAACAAGTACGGGCTGGCGGGAGACTTGTACAAGTTTGACGTGGACAAACGGAAATGGTAAGGGTTTTCTTTAAAAAAAAACCAAAACAAAAGTGTGGAAGTCAATAGAAAAGTCAGCTGTGGTCCAAACCACCATGCCCGTCTTGTTACTCAGGACCATTCTGAGAGACAGCGGCTTCTTCCGCTACCTTCACACGGCGGTCATAGTCAGCGGCGCCATGCTAGTGTTTGGAGGAAACACGCACAATGACACGTCCATGAGCCACGGTGCCAAGTGCTTCTCCTCGGACTTCCTGGCCTACAGTTTGGGTAAGTGACACCCACACAGACGTATCGGCAGAACTATTTGTCATCTTTCCATTTTTATGAACTGAACGAATGAAAGTTGACAAAACCGCTGAATAAATTTAGAATTTAGCTCAGTCTTTCTAATTGACTTTTAAAACCCTTCTCCTGAACGCAGAGATGAACTTTTTAGTTTAAGAGTCCGAATAGCAACCATCACACTATCTACCCACCAACCAGTTGTTTTGACCTCTATTTATATTATACATGTAAATGTGTTTAAAGTTGCTCAATGCTATGCTGACTTCAGGATTAAATAAGTAAACTGATAGGTTTTTATATTGTTATGCTCCTGAAAAGCTTGCTCAAATGGCTCAGTCCTCTTCTTATGGGTTTATTTATAGCCTTTTCACAGACTGCTATAACAATAGTTGACAGTTTAGCGTGATCCAAACTTTCCACAGTAAATGATTCTCATTATTTTATCAGCCTACAAACGCTGTTGTAGGTTGAATTGGCCTCGTTCTGCCGCGCTGTCATAAATGGCTCGTTAATTGGAGGCCGCAGGCTCCTGGGATGTCGGCCAGATTTCCCCAGAGGCTGCAGCGCCCTCGGGAAGTCCAGGCTTTTCTGTGTCGTTAGAAAGTTTGACTGACGACCAGTGCAGTTTGAATCTGAGCCTCCTCTCTCTCATCTGGGCTGCCACTCGCCACTGAAACTTCCCAGAGGAACTGTGACTTTTGCTTCTCTCCGGGTGAGGGAATCATTTAACGACTCTGTGATGAGTTTAATATTTGTCCTGACCCCTAACTTTTCGCTACCACTCTCCATCCTCTGTCTGACATATATATATTTTTTTTCTTTTTTTTTTTTTTGCAAGAAGAACGAAAATCGACTCTATAAATTAGCCCACCTCGACCAGCTGCAGAGTTGTTGGCAGCAGCACCTTTGGTAATTGTTGGGTAATTACATTTGAGATGGGCCAAGTCTAGAGCTAATTCCCCCTAGCCTCCCCCCACTTTTAACAAGCTGAACTCAATTAAAGGCTAGAATTTACAGGTCGCCCCGTGTCCTGACATTGTCTACTGCTGTTGTAATGAATCCCAGCTCAGAGGGACGTTAGTCTGTCCCATCTGCAGTACCTCGTTGCGACAGCAGACGGCACTGGCTCTTCGTGGATGTGGAGCTCTCTCTCCTCTGGGAGGCCATGATGACTTGTGCTCACAGAGTGTGATGGATGACATGCAGTGAGTGTGAGCCAGTGTTCTGCTGCTGTGCCCAGTTGCTACCGGGTTGTTCAGAACCTGACAACATGGAGTCTTTGAGCTTTTTCAGGGTTTTCTTTTGCCACAAAGCATGTTTTGCAGTCATTTTTCAAGACATCAGCCATCTCTATCTACAATAACTATTTGAGGAAATTGAATTCATATGAGTTAGAGCGATAGTTAATTTCCCTTTGGGATCAATAAAGTAGTTCTGAATTTGAATTTAGTGTTAATTCAATCTGCTCTGACCTAATGTTACTATTCTGCTGGAAAAAAACGACCCAAAACCTGGTGGATAAATGTGGAAACTGTCCCCAAAAATCTTGATCAAATCTCTGTTTACATTGTTTTGCAAAAGTATTCACACCCTTTTAATGTATTCGTATTTTTGTTATCACAGCTGCATAGTTTTGGCTTCCAGATCTAAAACTCACCAGCTCCTCTCATCTCGTCTCGACCTCTTCTCCAACACTCTCTGACTCTGGTTGCTATGGTAACGTTTACCTATCCCTTCACAACGCAGATATGCAACAAAAACGAACATTTTACTTTTGTGAAAATTGTAATTCACGATAACGACTAATGGGAGCCCAGAGCTTGTTTCTGTAACTAGACGGTCCCATCCAGGAAACGATGACACCCGAAGTGTTGCTAATGCACAACACGTCAGGTGTCATGGTCTCTACGTGGCGAAGCAGTTTGAAGCTTCATTGCCTCATTAACGAGTCGGTCACCATGTCATACAGAGCAGCTTGGAATGTGGGATTGACCTACCAGGATAAATCCATTCTCCTGTCTCTTCCCTTCGCAAAGAAACTTTCCAAAGAATCTGATCTGTTTTTTACTCATTTTGCTACTTAAGGCTCAATGTTGGGGCACAAAATGTAACCGAGAGAATTCGGGCGAAGGATTTCCAAAATCAAAGATCCTCCAGACTCAAAAAATCTTCCTCTTCCAAAAGGATGTTTCGAAACCTCAGTCACTGCCATTTAAGAGACACAGCAGCTCAGTCAAAGTCCAGAGCTAAATCCATCTAAGAAGTTGTGGCAAGTCTTGAAAGTTAGTGTTAGGATACATGTACAATCCAAAGAGCTGTTTTTGCCCTCAATTAAGATAAATGAAACTCGTTCAGCAGCGCAAATGTTTCATTAACCTTTTGAAAAAAAAAATAAAAAATTCAGCTGATATTTCTGAACGATGTGTTTTCAAAGAGTCATCTTTCTCACCTCCTAGACTTATTCTTGTTCTCACAGAATGTTGACTGAAGCCTCCCTCAGTGTCTTGAACAAATTTCTCCACCATTGTTGGGAATAAATTCAGTCCTTTCCTCCTGCACTGTTAACTTCACTTTGTCGTTAACCTCTCAACTTCCCTTCATGGACACTTTGCTCTTTTTTTAAAATTTCCGTTTGACTCCAGCAGAAGACTTGCTAAAGGTCTCTCTAAAGTCCCGAGGCGCGTCCTCTCGCCTCAGGAAACAAGCGATTGAACGTGCGAGAGCAGGCCGTCGCTCTGACCTCTGCTTCCTCTCCTCTTCTTGTTTTAGCCTGCGACGAGTGGACGGTGCTGCCCCGACCGGACCTCCACCATGACGTCAACCGCTTCGGACACTCTGCCGTCTTCAGCGACAGGTACGTCTTCATTACGACAAATAAGAAAAAGAAAGAAAAATAATTGTGTTTTTATTTAACACAATTACTTATTAAAGGTGCAGTACGTAACTTTAATAAAACATGTATTTTTTACACATTTGTTGAAACTGCCACTATGTCGTGACAGAAACGAGTAATCTGTGGAAAAATCAAGCTAATCAAGCTAAACAACCAATCAGGAGGAGGGACTTGCTACGATCAGTGATAGCGTAGTTACTTTGCAAAAGTAACTTTAATCTGATTACTGATTACGCCTCGAAAAAGTAACTTGGTTAGATTACTTATTACTTGATTTGGAAAGTGACTAAGTTACATTAAAAGTAACTTTTTCTAGTTACTTTCAGCAGCTGCTAACAACAACGCTCCACTGCCTGTGAAAATCACATTGGTCTTTGCCAAAACCGTTTTCTTGTAAGTGGATTCTCTGCCAATAACACATTTAGCAGCGAGTACCTTAGAGTGATTAATAGCGCTAAGACTCTCCTCTTGTCTCTGATTGGTTGATTTTGGTGCATTTCTTCAGATGTCAGTAGCAGCTCAGGAAGGAGGTGAAGAAAATGGATTTTTCAGACTGTCTCACATTATACTGTCATGATGTGGTAGCAGTTTTAACAAGTAATTTAAATATATATATAGATATATATTTTTTTAAAGTTACATACTGAAGCTTTAACTCTGGTGTTTATTTGCATTTAAAGAAGAGCAAACCTACTCTGATTCCTTCTTGTTGATTTTCACTCTTGTTAGTGCTCTGGCACAACGCATTTAAAGATGCGTCTCCTCTACATTTTGGCAAACAATATTCCATGATGGAATATCTCAAACAAAAAACATGTTTGTATCCAGAAAAAAAGACAGAAGTGCGCTTGTCATTTGGAACACATCACAAAAATGAATATGACTTTGTGATTGTTTGGAGCCAAAATGAAAACTCACTTGATTTATTAGCCGTCCCGATGAGGAGTTGCTTTGAAATGGAGAAGAAGCGGTGGGAATGTGACGGGCATGGTGCTGAGTCCTAAAACAATGACTCCAGGATTGTCTGAGAGACTGCCAGCCACACTGAATTATACATCCTCTTGCAGAGAACACATCAAATATTAACATGAATCCCCAGCTGTGTTCCAGTCACTCCTTCAAATGCATCTGCGCCTTCAGGTGGTGTTGAAATATTTCAGCTGATCACATTGTCACAGTAAGAAAGTGAAGATGGAAACAAGTAAAAAAAAAAAAAAACCCAAAGGTAAAAGCAGCTTCACAGGAAATATGGATTAATAAACGTCACCTGAAAGTTATAATGGAAAAACTCATTGTCGAAAGAGTTGATGTGCTAAATGTGAATTTTTAGGCGGGTTAGCAGCAGAGTGGGCGCTGTTTGGGGTTTGATTCCCGACTTCAGGGCTTTACCCTTTTCCCGTCTGTAACACTTCAAATACACGGCAATAGTTGCACAATATCATTGAAAAAGTTTATATACAAATTTATGTCACTTTCAATGTCATTTCCTAGTTGTGTAATCACAAAAATAATAATCACAGTAATAGTTGATACCCTATTGGTTGGTGATTTCAAGCGAATTACTCATTTTCCTTGTTTCCTGATTGGCTTTGCACTGCAAAAACAAAATCTTATATTTTGTCTAGTTTTTGGTGCAAATACGTTAGTTCACTTGAGCTTGTTTTAAATCAATAATTCCTTAGTATAAACAAAAAAGTAATAGCTATAAGTGAAATAATCTGCTAGGGGGACAAGGTGTTTTAATTTATGATATGATGGAGGGAAAAAAATTCCACTGGCAGATTGTTTTGATTATAAAAAGACATTTTCCCATTAAAAAAAACAAAAAAAAACTTTGATAGTATTAAGGAATAATTTACTTCATACAAGTTTAGTTTGCACAATTAAAATACAGATTAAATACATTCAAATTAAATAATAATAATAAGCAACAGTGCAGGAAGGGGAAAAAGTCTGATACTTATATAAAACAATCATCCAAATTGTATAGAAAAAAAAACAATATATAATCCAATAATAATCCTCCATCAGTTGATCATAAATTGAAAAATTCGATCACATAGAATAAAACCCACAAAAAGGTATTAACGGAAATTTAAATGAAATGTGTAATAATATAAAAAGTGACCATCACAATCCTTTAATTACGTACCGTTTTAAATAACCTTTAAACTCTTTTTCAGCTCCTATATCTTGTTGAAAAGTTGCTCAAGTTATTTTTGTCTGGACCACTTTACAGTAAGGCTCCCCTTATAGATGGATAATAAGTAGTTTACATGTAATGTTATCACCTCATCTATGAACACTTTATTAATAACTGTTTATTATGCATTAGGTGCGAGAAGGAGACTGTATGCTAAAACAAGAAGTCTACAAATTGTGCCTATAAGAATGTCTGAAATGTTTAGCATAACAACTGTAGATAAAATATGTAGGTGAACTGATTTGGCTCAGTATGTGCCTTCTCCTCCTCATCCTTAATTAATGCATGCACAATGAACAGTTATTAATGATGCATAAAGTGTCTCGAGATGACTTATTAACATATCCATGTAGCGTACAAAGAAACTAGACAAAGACAACTTGGCCAAATTTTCCTGCACTTCTACCGGTGCGGTAGAATAAAGGCCAGGAGACGGACATGTTCACTAACAGCGGGGTCATCATTCAGGTCAGGGCCTCCTCTAGAGGGCACTAGCTGGTTGTTGCCTGGGCTCATAAGGAGGAAGTTGAAGGATCGCTAAAGCTGGACCTTTCCTGACTTACCTCTCCTTGTTCTCCTCTGCCCTCTGACCCCCTCCTTCCACAGCGCCATGTACGTGTTCGGGGGCTTCAACAGCCTGCTGCTGAGCGACATCCTGACGTACACCTCGCCAAGCTGCTCTGCCTTCTACAGCCCGTCGTCCTGCAGCCAGGCCTGGCCCGGGATCCACTGTGTGTGGAACGGCAGCCTGGGAGCCTGCCTGCCGTGGGAGGGCAACAGCTCCAGCGCCGAGCCGCAGCAGCAGCAGCCGCTCCCGGCCTCCTGCAACACCAGATCATGTAGGAGCAACCATGTTTTCTCTATTTTGTTGGACATGTCAGACAGGACTGGAGGTGATACAGAAGAACAGCTCAGCTGTGTTTTCTCTGCTTTGTTAAGCTTCTTGTATGTCAAAAAGACAAATTCTTTAAAAAATCTCCGTCCTCTGCCTCTACTGGAGGTTTATTTTAAATGACAGTGGCACTGAGAAGATCTTAAAGGGGCAGGATTATGTCCAATCAACTTTTTAGAGCTGTATGTTATGTTATAATGTTATTCCCTCATGAAAAACATACCTGGAGTGTTGCTTTGATTCTTTCATGCATATTTGAGAAGTTCTTTCATTTCCATGGCAAGCTATGCAAAATGCCTGGCTGGACCAAGGCATCAGCTCCTTCAGACTAGCAACCAGCAATTGGCAAACACCTGCTGGAGCTGCACATCAGCTCTTCCATATAAGAGCTACGTCTCGGTGAAGTGCTGTTAAAAATGTTGTTAAAAGGTTAATAGAGGAGCCATGTTGTGACGACACATGCACACCACACTTTTCAGATTCTTTGCTGCGAAAGAAAAATTCAAGCCATGTATTGCTTACACCTCACTGAAGAACTATCTTGTCTTCTTTTGTCACTTGAAACTTAAACAATTAATTGCATTCAAGTGGATTTGAGAAGACATTTCAATTCAGATTCAAATTAAAAATGTTCTCAACTGGAAGTGAAGTGTTGCTTCAGATCTGCTTTTAGCTGCAACAAAAATAAACATAGCTTTTTTTTTTGTTGAAGATATTTATTTTTATTTTCATATCAATCTTTTCTTTAATAAAGTCTTCTCTCCGTAGCAACAGAAGTAGTGATGTGTCTGTCTAACTGTTGCAGATGCCGATAATGAGAGGTGTGAGCAGTACACAGACTGCTACAGCTGCACGGCCAACACAAACAGCTGCCAGTGGTGTTCGGGCCAGTGTGTGTCTCTGGGAAGTAACTGTACCGCTGCTACGGTATGAAAACACACACATGCGTGTGCGTGCGTACACACACTTTCATGCATACACACAGTCACTTGTTCTTGTACTTGTATCCAAGCAAGGACTTTTCATTGACCTCCATTCATTTTGGTAGCTGCAATAGTCTGCCTAACATTGACCTTTTATAAAACTGAATTCACGCCACACCTCTAAACATGACTACTAGAGCACCAGCAAAATTGCAAAAAATGAGCTCCTCACTTTCCATAAATGACTTCCTTTTGCTGGTAAAACTGGTGAAAGTGGTCGTCTGCATGTATTACATACATATTATACGTTACTACAGAGGAAAAGCCCTAACCACAGCATGCCGCCACCACCACCATGTGTTCAGGATGATGTTCCCCTTTAGTTTTTTTTTAGTTGTGTCCACACTGTAGTTCTAACAAGTTGCAGCCATTTAAAGCCCTGTTAAATTACTTGGAAAATCGTGTGAGAAGATGATTATTGGTGATTTATACTTAGTCACCAACTTTGGCGAGGGAAGGAAAAAAAAAGAGCGAGATTATACTTTACTGACAGTGGTCCATTTTCCATCTGCTCACAAAGGGACTGTAGGCATGATGAGAATGCCAAGGATACAGACAGTCATCCTGCAGATGACAAAGAACTGAAGTCCTTCAGAGCCATTGAAAAGTTCATCATCTAGATTTCTCTTTTAGCAGCATTTTTTTTTTCCTGAGAATCTCTGTGACGAGGCTGGCTGCCTTACAGACACTACTGCCTCTGTTTACAGCTGAATGGATCTTTAAGACGTGATCATCTAGCTAGCTGATGCTGATTAGCTCCACCATCTACCAACTGCAACGCCACCGAACTCACTCAGGTCTTTGTCCCTCTCCACTGGTGTAGACGAGGTGCTGCTGTTGTTGATGAGCTTTCGTTGATTTCCTCCATGATTTACTTCACCTTGTAAACCGGGCTGCGTCAGGCATGAGCGACGATTAGCGCTGCGACTGATGGAGCGCCGAGTCGCACGCAGCACCGGATCTGATTTGTCGCCCCACGATCAAATCAGTCCTCATTTAGACGCTGTCAGGCACACAGATGCACCTCGTACGTCTCCCCCACCCCAGGCTCTCTCTATCGTCTCTTAAACATTTCATAAATAAGGATCAGCTCTTCTATTCTGTTTTATGATCATCTAAAAGGGTTTATTAATGCTCTCCAAACCCCTGCCATGAGCAGTGTTTCTCTAAAATGACTGTCCATCCATTTTTAAAGAACAAATTGATGCTAATGCCTGACATATGTTGTCCTTCCGCTTTTTTAAAAATTTTTTTTGTTCCTCTCAGGGATCCATAGCGGAGTACGACGTTTGCCCCAAAGACAACCCATCATATGTGTGCAATAAGAAAACCAGCTGCAAGAGCTGCTCTGTGGACCAGAACTGCCAGTGGGACAATCGCAACCAGGAGTGCATCTCACTGCCAGGTAGTTCTGAAGTTCACTTAGTTTGAAATATTGGTGTTATAGTCTGAAAGTGAATAAAATAGTCTTGGTAAAAATAACGTCTTTATGGTTAAATGAATCAGGGTTCAGCAAAAATGTGTTGGAACTGCTGAACAAGCTCACATTGTCTGCAGATATATTGTTTTTTTTTTTCTTCTACCAACTGAACCATGCTCTACAGCTCTACTTTGGTTTTATTTGTCCAAGAGTCATCGTACCAGAAGTCTTACGAATCATTCAGAAGAAAATGTCTTTTTTCTGTTTAGAAAAAAGAAGCTTTCTAATGACGGGCCTTTCTACCAACCCCTGCCGGATTTGTTCAGCTGCTGTTCCTGATTTCACGCTGCGTTTTTCTCAATCCAGCGTCTTTTCTCTCTGCTCCAGAGAACGTGTGCGGCGAGACCTGGCACCTGGTGGGCAACTCCTGCCTGAAGTTCAACACGACCAGCGAGTCGTACGACAACGCCAAGCTGGCCTGCCGGAACCACAATGCCTTCCTGGCCTCCCTCACCACGCAGAAGAAGGTGGACTTTGTCCTGAAGGAGCTGCAGATCATGAACGTCATGGTAAGGCTCGCCGATGATCATTGGATCAGCAAAAAGAAAATGTTCCCTGTGGCTGGTAAGATCCCGATGCCACACACACAGTGAGAGAGGAGCCAATTCCAGCAGAACAGCGGCGGTGTTTAATTGGCTCCAACAAGAGGGAGACACGACAGGGGTTTTCTCTTCTAATTGTTCCATTCATACTTGACCAGTGAGGCGCTTTCCAAAATTTGCCTTCAAGTATATATATATATGTATAGATATATTTTTTGTTGTTGTGAGTTTTCTTTGTCACGTTGTCGGACCAGTAAGCATGAAATAAGTCTCTAAAGAACAGATCTTTCCTTCCAGAGCTCAGACACCTTTCATTTGCTCGATCTATTAGAGTGAAAACCCAGAAATCTATCCCAGAAACCCGCTAATCACTTCCAGGCTGCATTGGCTTCTTTGTCGGTGGGGAAATATGTTTTTTGTTTTTTTTATTGTTTAGCTTAGAAACTGCTTTGCTTTTTGAACTTTTTTTTTTTATAAACCCTCTTGAACTTTGTTCATATTTGTCTTGCTACAGAAAAAAAAGCTTTGACTTATTTTATTGAGGTTTTCTGATGAAACAACACAAAATAATTCATGAAAGTGAAGTAGTAGAAACTGGGGGAAAAGGGGCTTTCAAACATTTTTTCTGAATGGTAATCTGAAAAAGTGTGAAAAATCTTTCAAACTCTCAGATTGGATTCAATTAAACACAGATAAACTCACATTTACGAATAAAATGTCAGAAGATTGAAGTTGAACTTGGTTTTATTAGTGGATATCAGAAGAAAGGAAGCTGAATATAAAATTACGCCACACCTTTTTTTTGGCAGAGATGAAAAAAGTCTCATAAAATTCCATTTTAACATTTCTTTTTGTTGTGATGACACAACAAAACGTGAACATTTGAGGGGAATCAAGAAATTACAATACCAATCCCCAAACTGGGAGTGTATTTCTGAATTAGCTAAAACTGTTTGAGAGGAAAGTGAAGGATTTATAAGAAACGAGAAAAGAGTACAAAGCACATGCAGTGTGTATTTTTGGTTGGTGCTATCATTATTATTTTTTAGCTCGAAGCGTGCACAAAGGCGGTTAAAAGACTTCCTCCTATGTGATGTTGACGTCGCCTTTTCCGAGGATTATTCTGCCAGGATCAATCATTCCGACCTCTGGAATTACATGTCAGCCCTACTGTAATTTGTCTCTCTCAGAAAGCCTGCGCTCCTTTCCTTTTTTTTTTTTTTTTTTCTTGACATGGCAACATATCTGCAGACTAGACATGGGTTTAAGTTTGAGAGCCCTTCAAGTCAGGTGAAATAAACCTGCCTTATTCCAGATAAATGACTGCTCTGTCGTTTTTCCTCTCCCCTCTCCTTCTTCAGTCAGGGTGCAGCTGTTTTCTGAAACAAAAAAAGAAAAAAACGTTACTTGTCAAATAGTTTCCCCCTCTATATTTACATTAAAGTAATTGGTGGGAAGCTGCCATCATAACAACTATAGATGTTTTGTTTATGGAATCAAATGAACTGGACGTATAGTCAAATCTTTCCACTTGTTTCATCAGTACAAGACGACAATGACTCCCTGGGTGGGGCTGAGGAAAATCAACGTGTCCTACTGGTGCTGGGAGGACATGTCGCCCTTCACCAACACCACCCTACAGTGGCTGCCCGGTGAGCCGAGCGACGCCGGGTTCTGTGGCTACCTGGCCGAACCGGCCTCCAGCGGGCTGAAGGCGCAGTCCTGCATCAACCCCGTGAACGGCAGCCTGTGTGAGCGACCCGGTAAGCTTTCGACGTTAACACAAAGCCAACGCGGACTGTCCGGCCATTAAATGTGTGTTTATGTGTTAAGAGTGCACTGATTTCAGCTTTCTGTCTGGCCACCAATTTTTAACAAGCCTGATCTACTGTTTCCTGACTTTTGCAAAGATGGATAAGATTGGCTTCACATATAAATATTGGTAAACTGCCTGTCATTTGAAATCGGCTTGTCACAGTTGCATAGTGTCTGCTGAATAATAAATTGTCCCACATGTTATTGCGATAAACGATAATATTGTTTTTTAAAACATTTTTGAATTAATATGATGATAAAGGTGGAATAATGCAGGGACATATTCTCAAAGATCAATAAGCTTTAAATTCTAATGAGCATTTAACATTGAAAATGGAAGACATTTTAAGACACCAGAAAAAGACTTTAGTTTTAAAATCAATTAAAATCGCTCGTTTTAATTTATCTTAGTTAGTTGCTTATTGTGACATCTATTTATATATACAGGGCAAGAACTTTTGGCCATTTTGTCAAAAAAAAAAAAATACAGCCAAGAATTTTCTAATTTGTGGCATTGAAATGAAGTAGTAATACTTTACACAAGTATCATGCATAAAATCCTACTTAAATAAATGAATATTGTTTTAAGGGAGATAAACAAATCCTCATTCAGTCCACTTTTCCCCAATCCTAGGCTCTTAACCCTTCTGTTCATGCTCTTTCTTAGCGAACCACAGCGCCAAGCAGTGCAAGACCCCCTGCGCCATGCGGACCACCTGCAGCGAGTGCACCAGCGGCACCTCGGAGTGCATGTGGTGCAGCAACATGAAACAGTGCGTGGACTCCAACGCCTACGTGGCCTCCTTCCCGTTCGGCCAGTGCATGGAGTGGTACACCATGAGCAACTGTCCACGTAAGACGTCTCCTTCCACTGGCTTCAATACTAACACCATTGGAATTCCTAGCCACGCTGCAAAGCAGAAAATGTTCAGTCCCAAAATAATTTCCCCATAATCACATTGTAGTATAGAACGCAGCAATGTGATTTATGCTGGTAATCCCCGTCTAATCTCTTCTGCTTCTCTGAACATTACTCGTTCAGAATCAGCAGGAAACATGAGCTGGATCTCACTGATGATTTCTTTTTTTTTTTTTTTTGGCACTTTTTGATGGATTGTCTGGTCTGTTTGGAGTTCATTTGTTAACGTACTGAGGTGAGAATAAGAACTGAACCCAAGTGTTGCTGAGTTTCTAAAACACCTGAATTACATTGTGCTGTACAAAAGACGAAGCTCAGGTTTTGCTATCATAAAAGGGGGCAATGAGTTCCTTGAAACAGGCAGGAAAACCCTGAAAGATTTCACAGCTGAAAGTGGGGAGCAGGGTAGATTTCTTCAGACTGCCGGGTTTCCCCTAGAAAACCTTCTGGACCTGGTGGTAGGGGGCGCTTGGGCTTAAAAAAAGGTTAAAAGTTACAAAACTTCAGAAGTTGACGAGCAGATGTGTGAGGCCAACGTCAGGTGGAGAAACGGTGCAATTGGTACCCACTGCCCAGTTCAAAGTGTCAGCTATAAACCTTAATGCATCTTTACTGTCACTGTTACTGGTGTACAAAAACCCATTTTAAAATAAACTATTGACACTTCGTCTGGCGGGTGAGCCATGGTAATTGATCCCCTCTGAAAACTGTTTTGTGAGTGAGACACAGAGGGGGAGACAAAATTTATCTCTGTTTTGAATCAAACTAACTGTCAGTTAGTTACGTTAATAGTGAAAGGCAGCAGTAGCCTTTGCAAGGCATTGTGTTCCTTTGCTTTGGCTGGCCCCGATCAAAATGTGGCATCGTAGCCTGAAAGCTCTGTCGTAACTGTAAGTGGCGCTGTTGTTGTGTTTTGCTCCAGCTGAAAACTGTTCCGGCTACAGAACATGCGGCCAGTGTTTGGATCAGCCCGGTTGTGGTTGGTGCACGGACCCCCACAACACGGGAAAAGGCCAGTGCATCGAGGGTTCCTACCGGGGGCCCTTCCAGACATTGGTGCCAGCGCCGTCCACCCTGCCCGGTCTGCCCGCCGGCCCCCAGCCCTCCCTGAACTCCAGCATGTGCCCCAGCGAAGCCAAGTATAACTGGTCCTTCATTCACTGCCCAGGTAGGAGCCAAGGGTTCTCTGCTGAATGCGCTGACCCTGTTTTGATTGATTTCATTTTTTTTTATCATGTATATTTGTTTCACAAAACTGTAAAAGGAAATAGTTTCTTTTTAAGGCACCTTCTTCTTTTTACTTTTATTTTTTTAAAGATGTTTCAATTTCTAAAAATTAGACTAGAGACATCAGATTGTCTCTCAGAGATTGATCTCTGGAAACCTGGGGAAACTTTAAAAAAAAAAAAAAGTAACGACTCAAACAATCATTTTTGTTTGGGTAACTAATCATATTTAGTTAATCGAACCGAACATGATTTACAAATGTTTGATTTGATTTTGTAAATGTGGGTGGAGTGGTTACCCTTTGTTGACCTCTGCCAACACATTATCATTGTTTTCATTACTTAAAACAACAGCATCAAAGAATATTTAGTTTAATGTGAAAAATGTGGAGCAACTCTCCTCTGGTTGACAGGTTTAGTCAAAGTTCAGGGTTTTGAATGCTTTTGTAAGACAGCTGAAAGATGACGTTTGGATCATTTGCTGCATGAGAGCCACAGCTTTGACAGAATACCTGTTCAGTCCCCCACATAAACATTGCTGTTTGTGTTTGCAAATGAGCGTACAGATCTCTCCATGTTTGGCCCTGGGGCTGTTTATTGCTAAACCTTTTCTTTTAGAAAAAAAAAAAAGGATTTATTATTTTTTTTCCTGCAGGGATTGTGTGTGAGTGTGTCTGTGACATTAATGCAGTACGCGCTTTGTTTACTCCCCGCCAGCCTGTCAGTGTAATGGCCACAGTCAGTGTGTCAACGAGAGCGTGTGTGAAAAGTGCGAGGACCTGACAACCGGCAGACACTGCGAGAGCTGCATCTCCGGTTTCTACGGCGATCCGACCAACGGGGGCAGCTGCCAGCGTAAGTTCCCCGCCGCACGCACACTCGTCCGACATGTCACTTTTTTTTACTGTTCATTTTTACGTCTGCTGCTTCTCTGAGCCCTGGCGCCTCCTGTTGGGATATTAAAGATTTACTCCTTTCACAGCCGACACAGACAGTCACTCAATCAGGCTATAAATCAATCGTTTAGCAATTGGACAGCCTAATTTCGCTTTCTGGTATATCACTGCTACTCTGTATGTTGTATATTCTCTTTCTGTCTCCCACTTGATTTATATTCACAAGGGTTTGCATCAGTGACACTTAATCAGTACATTAGGCTGTTAAAATGCATCATTTCTTCTTTGTACTAGGAGTGCAACGACTGCATTTTTCTAGCCGATCACAATCTTTCATTCCGATTTTGATAGATTTGTTTTACACACTGTTAGGCGTTTTAAGATCATCACAAACCTTCAATGTTCCAATCCTATTTTATTATACAACAGTAAACTATACACATTTGAACTACAATAGACATACTCTTAAATACAAATGAAAAGTTTAAAACATTGCTGTCCAAAGCTGCTAAATTAACAAGAATAGTTTTGTTTTTCACAATTAAAATTTTTCTCCGTCCCTTTGTCAAAACTGAGCAAAAACGCACAGTTTCAGACCTTTGCAGAAGTATTTAAGATTGGTGGAAAAACTCTGTTTCACAAGCACGTATCGGTTGATCACCCTATATTAAGGAATTTGGGCAGAGCATGAAGAGCATGAAGATAAACACTGGTTCTGCTAACGCTAAAGCAATTACCAACTAAGAATTTAGCAGAAGCCAATGCTAAAGCACTAACTGCATTTAAAATTGTATCTGGCTGGAAGGACTAGAACCTTCTAGAGCCAATTTAATTTTCACTTTAAGTTCATATTTCCTATAATGTGCTTAGATGTTGTATCAGTGTTTATATCTTCCAGTGTCTGTGTTTTTATTTGATATACTTTTTTGTTGAAATAAAGTTATTGTGGGTGGAGGACAGAGAAAATGAGGAGAGGAAATGGGAATGCTAAACAGCCATCACCCACTTCAAAATAAGAGCATGAAGATAAACAACTAACTGAGAAAATTCAGCTGAAGTTTGCAAATAGTCGGGAAAATTAGAAGTTTAGAATTTACCTGGAAAAATGAATTTAGGGGAAGCTACATAAACTAAATGTTTTCAAAGTTGACAAAAAAGCTCCAGAGCCAAACAGAAAATTAGCAAATTGCATGAAAAATGCATTTGTAGATCTGTGACTGATTGATGAAATCTATCCTATAGAATGAAATTTGAGTGCATGGAGTATTGAAGTGGAAGGTTGTCCAATACACAACAGACGTACTCTTGGTTAGTAAATGTCATTTCAGAAGAAATTGTGACTCTTCTTGGTTTTCCTCCAGCCTGTAAGTGTAATGGCCACGCCAGCATGTGCAACCCCAGCAACGGGAAATGCTTCTGCACCACCAAAGGCATCAAAGGAGATCGATGCCACATGTGAGTTTCACTTTCTGCTTCATATAGCTTAAAACCGCAATATTATTTCATCATGTTTCCTTTATGTGTTTATATATTTCTATCTGATAGCTGATCTTTTGAACACCCTTCCTACTCTGTACGGTGTTTGTTTCAGGAAGCAGGATTTGAGTTTCACAAGGCTCTGTAGTTAACATGACATTTGTCAAAGTATTTATTCCGACTCCTGGAGGTTTTCACAAAAAACCATCCACATGTATTCGATTGGGATTCTGTTCCAGACTGAATAGCTGATGAGTGGAATGAAAAGTAGATTTGCAGAGATGAAATATATTCTACAAAGAAATAAAATTCCTATTCTTGGGAATTCTGAATTGTTTCAAAATGCTGAAAAATCTAGTTTCTGTAATTTTTCTGTCTTTAAGAGAAGGCAGGCACTGCACTACCTGATAATAATCAGTGTAATAATTAAAAATAAATAAGTACTTCAGCATTTACAAACCAGCAGATTTTCTTTCACCTCCTCCCAGGAGAAACGTTCTTTTTTTTCCTGAACACCTTCAAAGTCATGTATTACTTTTGGAATGACACTATTTTAAGATCTAAATTATCACACCTAAATATTAATGAGCCTAAAAGTCTCCTCAGTATGTCCTGAAGTCTTCTGATCATTTTCAGCCTTTTATCGTCCGTCTGGCCTTTATGATTATAGGACTTTGGAGAAACCCATTAAAACCTCCAGATGATGACTGTATGAATGGCCGTCAGTATGAAAATGAGGCCGTATTTGCCCCATTTCTGCGGAAAATGTTTCCAGTACGTTTCCTCTCGGTTTCTTTGTTCCCCCTGTTCACCAACATTGTGATGTAAATTCAGCAGACAGAAAAGTCAACCCTCCTTTCTGTTCCCCTTTTGTTTCATTCCTCCATGCTAACCGCCCACCTCCCATTTCGGCTCACCTTTTCTCCACCTTTGTTTTTAAGGTGTGAAGTGGAGAGCCGTTACCAAGGCAACCCGCTCAAAGGGACATGCTACTGTAAGTGTAACTCCTATTATTACCAAATCCTGAAAAAATAATGAAACAATTCTGTCTCATTCAAGTCAATGCAAAGTGAGTCTTGTAGCGAAAATGACAGGAGGATAGATATATGAGACTGCAGAGAAAAGCCATGGAATATAGATATGATGGCAATAAGTAATTTATTTTATTTTTTACAATTTTAATTATTGTAGATTGTCATTTTAACTACATACTACTTTATTTTAGATTATTATTTAGTGACCATTTTAATTTATGTATTATTTTTATATTATTTAATAAATACCGTTTTTTGTCATTTGTGTTATTATTAATCTTTCATCAATGACAAAACATTTCTTAATGTTTTATTATTAATTCAGTTTAAGAATAAATTATTTATTTTATTATTTTATTGCATTCTTATTTATTTTAGGTAATTTTTCCATGTTTTATTTTTTGTCCATCTTTTTTTATTTTGTTATACATATATAAATTAGAATTGGACATTTTTAAATTGATTATGTATACTATCATTCATAATCTGTGCAATTATTTTATTATAAAACGAAAATAGGGATGTATTTATTTCCTATGGCAATTTGTTCATTTTTGCAAAAATATTTCTGTTTTTTTTATTATGTTGTAGCCTGTCTGGCACATTAGATTTTACAGAAGAGGGATGGTTGCTTGTTCCCCCACCTTCCGCAGGAATCCTGTTGTAAAAGAGTCTGGTGATTTCACGGTTTTGGACAGAACTGCAATGTGATTTAGAAAGCTGTCAGAGATTAATGAACAGGAGTTTTCTGTTATCACTGGAATTAAAACTAAGTGCTGAAGCAATTCCCCCGACTGATTGGCAAGTCAATGAAAACCACCCAACAAAAAGTTTGAATTTCCCATCCCCCCTTTCTCCTGCTGTGAACGTTCCCCACCTTTTTTTTTTTTTTTTTTTCCGTGCCATTTTTAGACTCACCAGAGTGGGAACAACGAAGACATTAATTGGTTAGTTAAACAGTAGATAGTGAAACGGCAGTCGTTTTGATTATCCAGCTTAGTGATCGGTTTAATGATTTAATTTAAAATGAAGTTCTTTAGGTTTTCTTCGGGTTGGGTCGCACGTTGAGCAGTTTAGCGTCTGGTTACACTGTAGACACACAGATTCCACTTGAGTTAATACTTTATAAAAAGATGTTTTTCTTCTATTATAGATCAAGTTTTACCTTTTTTTTTGCAAAAGAAGTTAAGTGCTGTCAAACATAAGTTAGTGTCAATTCTCAATTATATTTACATCTGGACTTTGACTTGGCCATTAAGATACATGATGCATGAATAAGACATTAAGTTAAAGTTGCACATGAATAAGTGTGTTCAAGTCATATATCATTAAAAGTCATGGCAGCAACAAATGTAAACAGCTAAATAAAATGCGTTCATATGGGAGCGACTATTTTGGGAAAGTGTATGGATTCAGCACGTTGCAAGTTTTTATGAAATATGACGCCGTGAGAGCTCTGATGGAGCCAGCAGCACCTTGTCTACAAACAAAACAAAATCTTCCAACTACTTCCTGTCTTCTTCTTTGTCGTTTCCGCCAGTAGTAACATCTGGCTGTTGGTCACGTGATTCAAAAAAACGAATTTCCATTGCAGTTTTACAAAATGCATTTATTAAGATGTGGGTGAAAACCCACCTCCTCCTTGCACAAAAACCTGCAAATAATGGTAGAAATCCTCTCTGCCCACCTCATAAGTCCGGCACAGATCCTCAAATTTTACTCATTCCTCATTTTTAATCATATTATGGAATGCAGTGATTCCCTGTTTTGCCTGTTTCATGGTGTAAATTTGAAATCCGATTATTTTTCTCTCTCAGTAATCAGAACTGAAGTCAAGCAGTTGGTAAACCGGTATAGAGACACAACAACTCATATATCAAGAGCTTTTTTTTCTTTTGCTGCTTCCCAGGTCAACCATTGGACATTGAGTTGTGGCTGCAGAATTTCTCCTGAAAGAGGTTTTACCAGGCTGAGGATAAATGTATTTCTCTGTGGTAATTGTTATTTTTTTTAAGAACAGCAGCTGGCGCGGCTACACACTGACAAAGAAAATGGCTTTTCCTGTGCCGGTCAATAAAGCCGAAGAAAGGCTGGGAAATTGAATTTTCGGTTTCCAGATCATGACGAATAAAGTCCAGAGAAAAGTGTAAAACAAAAAGGAAACCTTTGCGTTTTTTGTTGTTTTTTTTTTTTTGGGGGGGAGGGGCAACTCGTTGACTCTGTTGTTTTGATGCTGTAATGGTTTCATGACCTTTTATCACAGGACAAACACACACACACACACAAAAAGCATTCTGGGGGGAGGGGAATGAAAATGGAGAAATGATGGGGATCATTTCCCACCCGGAGCGCTGTCAGAAAACATGTTACTGGGCGACCTTCAAGCCAGACTTACTCGTCTGTCTTGGCCTCCCTCTCCAGACACGCTCCTCATCGACTACCAGTTCACCTTCAGCCTGTCGCAGGAGGACGACCGCTACTACACCGCCATCAACTTCGTGGCCACACCTGAGGAGGTATGTCAGGCAGAAAACGCCCCGCCGTCATGGCAGCTGCCCACTTGCCAAAAATAAATGTATCGAGTTAACCACCACATGACTGAGGTGCTTTATTTTCTGATTACAGTAGTCATTTGTCCCCTACTGCTGCTCCTCTAACATGTTTGCTCTTTACCTGAAGTGAGTCAATGAATGCTCAAGAGAGGAAAGAAACAAAGATTTGTGCTTTTAAAAAGCTCCTTATGATTAACATTAACATTTATCAGCAGCATGCGATTACACTTACTTTCTCTCAGGGCAGTAAGATTGAATTTAGTATTTTAGTTTAAAAAGTATTAAATCCAAACCCCTGGAATTTTGCTGGATGTTAATAAAAAGAATACTAGAAATCTAAAAAGTGTGGCGTGCACTTGATTTCAGAACCCCTAATGCCCCGTCCCCATCACAGGAGAGCCTTTTTACTAAGTTAATTTCAAAAACGTTCGGGGTTATGGGTCAAGATACCCCGTTAGGCTAACATAGTAACTTTATCACAAAAAATGTTTTTTGCTGTCAACACAAATATGCAAGAGTAAAATTTTCACTCTGTAGCCAGTGTCAGGAAATATTGTTTTTGATCCCCTAAAACACCTTTTCCATGTGAACAAACGATTAAAAACCTTCCTGTTTTAGAAAAACAAGCTCTGTTGTGGGCAGGGCTTCAATCAGTTCTTTACAAGCCAACTTTAGCTGCTACTACAGCTGCAGCAGTTTTTGTGTAAGTCTCTTAAGCCTTTACACATTTACCACTTTCCAATTACATCCTTTACAATCCTACAATCCACAGTTCTGTTTTGGCACCATTTTCCTAATAAATACCATGATCACCTACTGTACGAATTGTGTTTTATAGCGCAAGACGTAGAACCTTTAGGATGACAAAACATGCTGGATATTTCTGATATCTCTTATTAACACATGAGGGTTTATTAAATACCTGCCTTGAACTGATTGATCTGTGAATCGAAGTGATGTCTCTGGAAATTTGCTCGTCGCGGTCACACAGATGTTTTCCTAGCAAACAAAATCTCGTCCACTTACGTTTATTCACCGGGAGCATCTGGAACTGAAACAGAAATGAAAGTGTCTGATGAAATGTTCCAGATGGTTTTTCTCCCCTGATGAAGCTTTTACCAGAGTGTTGCAACGGCTGAAATGTAATCCATTTGTCATCTGAGCAGGAGCAGAGATAATTATCTTCATACAGGAAGTGATGACGGCTTGTCTGACTTAACTTCATCTGTAAGATTAGGGAAGAATCCAATTTAAATGCTTGTTCTTGCTTTTAATAAAGTGTGATTAGGAATTAAGTTTTGCATCTAAAACAAGTGAGTAACACCTACTGTAAAATAAATGTTCAATATATTGTGTTTGTTGGAGCTAAAGGTATGTTGTAGGGGTGCACTGATGAATTGGCCCTGATTTTTTTTAAATTTTTTTATTTCATTCGATAACCTGGATGAGAAATCAGTCCAATTTTACCTGCTTGCGCAAATGTTTAAAATTCTTCCACATACTTAAAAAAAAAAACAATTAAAGTTTGTGGTAATAGTGACAGCATGTTGAAAAGTTTAAAAGCTGGGATGGTTTTGTAGCTGCTGCTGAAAAGTGCTGGGTTTCAGTCTTCCTTCCTCAGTAACAACATCCAAACCGAAGAGTGACATGGTAGTGCATAGTATGGTGCATACTGACTGCATTTTAAAGTTCCTTCTTCTCAAACTGAGCTGCAACCAGCAAAATTCAGTCTCTCTGGATGTCTCTAGTCACATAGTCTTCATAAACAATATAATGCACGCAGTTTGGAGTTATTAAATGAATATATCTTCTGTTACCTGTGCTGTTTGCTCTTATTCACAAGTGTGTTTGTGCTGCTGCAGTGTGAATAAAATCTCTGCTCTGCTTTCTGACCTGCGACCAAACGAGCTTCTCCGTACCTAATTAAATCAACTCTAGCCTTTTCCTCGCTGGCTTTGGCTTCTCTTACAAGTATTTTTGTTGTCGTTTGTTTTGTTTTTTGGGGGGACAAATTAAACGCAGTGACGTTGCTGTTGGTATAATTGCTGTGCTTCCGCTCTGCCCACAGCCAAACCGCGATCTGGACGTGTTCATAAATGCCTCCAAGAACTTCAACCTGAACATTACATGGGCGACCAGCTTCACAGGTACGAGTCTGTCAGAGGACACACACCCAGCAAGAAGCAGCTGCTTTACACGTTCATCTGAAAGCAAATATTTCTTCCGTTTACTTCCAAGGAAGAAAAATGAAGTTTAAAATACTGTCCTGTTGGCTTTTTTGACTTTAAATTATGAATAACTTTGGCTTAAGAAGTTGACTAAAAGAGGCTGCTGCTTAAAGGATACTTTTGTAGTTTTTACAATATTTCCTTACTATGTTGAGGTAAACTGTTCTGCTTTTTATTAATATTTTTTAAATTCCTGTAGTGTTCTGTGTTTGGCTCTTTTCTTTCCTACTACACCAACTTTCACTCCTCTTTTTCTTCTTTTTTTTTTTTTTAATTGTCGACTCAACATGGTTTCCTTTCCTGCAATCTTTTCTTCATCCATTATGACATTATGACACTTTTTTTGTTTTTTTTTCCAGCAGGCACCCAGACCGGAGAGGAGATTCCCATCATCTCACGGTGTAACATCAAGGAATTCAAGGACAGTTTTTCAAACGAGAACTTTGATTTCCGCAACAGTCCGAACATAACGTTCTTCGTCTACGTCAGCAACTTCACCTGGCCCATTAAGATCCAAGTGAGTTTCGCTCAAATTTAGTCAAGTGGCAACTTTTGGGAAGTCTTTACTGATTTGTTTTACAGCAGTATTATTATTAGTGCTGTGAATTGATTGAAAGATTTATTCACGCTCTAGCTTTGTGATTCATCGCTGTGCTTTAAAACCGTGTGAGCTTGAAATGTAAAAATCCACGTTTTCAATAAATGTTTGGAAAAATGTTCAGTCATCTCAAACCGATCAGGTCAGTTTTTCATGTTCAGGACTGTTTAAAAGAAGTCATCCTCTCTCTATGGAGGGTGTCCATGCATTCTTAAAAAGTCTTAATTAACGTATCTTAAAGTAAGGCCTTAAAATGTCTTAAATTCACATAAAGTAAGTTCGCCTTTTATATGTTATTCACAGGTCTTAATTGTTGTGGTAGGATTATTTCACTTGATATATTTTGTGTAGTTTTCTTGTTTCTCACGGGATTTTACTGCTACGTAAAACTTTGAGTCATACCAGCTGCTAATACACCTTTTCTAGCCAGCTAGCTGGATAGCTAGTGTAAAGCCACGTAGCCTTTTTACATCCATCAAGGTTGAGTGCAAATTTATCGCCGGCTGTCTGGACGATGCTCATCTTAGCCATTGGCTCACTTCTGTTGCCTTTATTTGCAATTTTCTTTTGTGCGTTTCTGTTGCCGTGCAGATCTTAAATTCCTTTCACAGCAGTCTTAAAAAGTTTTTTTTTAAACTTTTAAATTTGTATTGGTGAAACCCGCAGAAACTTTTGTATCATTAGCGTATTGTGACCATTTTTCTTCCTGAACCGGTGGTGGAGTGTTTTCATGTTTTAATTGGTCATGAGGTCGAGTAGGGATCAGCATTAGTTCACTTGTCGGAAAGAAAGTTGTTTGGCCCGGATTTGACCGAGACTCGTTGCTCGCAGTCGTCGAAAAGTCAAAAACTTGCAGCTTAAGTATAACCACTGGGGAGGCTTTCTCTAAATCAGCTTTACATTTATCAAAATCCTAGAAGTTGTTGTTCTCGTATCTCAAAAGTTTCAGGTCGTTCTGAGACATTGGATGCTGTCCTGAACGTGTGTCCAGTCCAGAGGAGCTGCTGCTCCTTAAGAGCGGAGTGTGTTTGCTGGACTTGTTGATGTCTTACTTCCTGGTAGCTGCAGTGAATAAGACCCTTCATCTGCTGTCCTGCTAGCTGGCAGCGTGTTTTTACGTGGCTTTGCTGCAATCAGTTCTGAACTCAGGGAAGCACTCCAATGTGAATGATGGAGAGAAAACCGTCTTTCATCAGCGCTGTAGCTGTTGTGATTTTAGTAATTCAAAGGTTCTTTGTTTTTTATTATTATTATGTGTCGCAACGCTTTAGCTAATATTTACTGTGTGAATAAACTTATTGACTAAGTAACACAGTAAAACAAAATGTAAACCCTACACCAGTCGGCTGATTATTACTTTTTCTTGATCTATTCTGGTCAAACAGCTGGCGAAATCGCAAATAATTCAACATTTTCTTCCCATTGATTGCATTAAAACAAAGCCCCCTTTTATTTTTGGTCAATGCATTGACCAATAGCATGTAGTTTGAGGCCATTTCTAGACGAAGGTCAGAGGCATATACAGAACCTGCAGTGATTTTATTTGACTCTGGTTGTAGACTTTTGAGAAATATTCAAAATAAGAAAACCTGAAAAAGAATCTGAAATTTGTATCTGCCAAGAAAAGCCTTATATATGTGTATGTGTGTATGCATGTGTGCGTGTGTATGTGTGTGTGTGTGATGCCGATTGTTGTGATCTCGGACCGTCACCCCGGTTAGCGTTAGCAAGCTTGTGCGGTGTGGTTGGAGAGCGAGGCTCTGCCGGCAGTCCGCCCTGACAGCGTTCCACCGGGAGCAGCTCTGAGAGATGTGACTGGTCACACCTGTGTGTATATTTGCACCTCTGCCTGCATGGGGGTGGGGTGGTAAACCACAATCCTGCCTCCATCTTCTACGTTCAGCAGTGCAGTGTGAGGGGATTGTAGGTCTTTCTCAGCTTCAGAGCTTCAGGTGGTCCACGTCGCCGTCCCGCTGCATTTCCTCCTCTCATCCTGCTCCGATCCACTTCATCTCCTGTCTTTCTGGGTGGGATCATGTAGAAGATCACCCCCCTGTTCCTGAAACCAAAAGAGCACAGGACTTTTTCACCCAGCGCCGAGGTAAACCTCTCCTCCTCGTCTCAAACCACTTTCCACCGCTTACTAACGGCCCTCTATTTCCTCCTCTCTGCTCCTCTTGCGTTCGCTGACCTGTTGCTGGACTTCTTGCGCGTGTGATCAGAGGTGGTGGGTGCCTCCGGCACAGATCGGAAAAGCAGCGGACCGAGAAGGAGCAAAGGGCAAAGTGGAATGTTAAGTTGAAACACATGCTTCATTCAGAGACGGCCGCGTGTGGAAAGCCAAAGCTTCTCTACAGGCTTCTAACACAACTCTGCTTACTTTCCTCTCACACCGACTCCGTTCGCCCTCACACGCTCGTCAATCGGAAGAATAGCAGCTCATGTGTTTCCCAGTTTCATGACCAAGCCACCTGCCAGTTTCTTTAAACCGCCGGCATTTATCACGAAAAAATAGTCTTTGTCTCACCCGCCCCGACACTAAAAGATGAGATTGAATTCTTTCATGTCATCATCGTCTGTGTCGAGCAAATCGGATCATGAAAACAAAATCAATTGCGGTGAAATTAGTCAGCCAAGAGTTTCCCGTTCCCCTTGATTGTTTTTTTTTCTTTTTCCTCTTCCTGCACCCCTGATGAAGAATAGATCTGAATTTAACGATGTTTGTAATTAAACACAAATCCCAGACTAATTACATTAAAGAGCTGTGATCCTCCTGTTCTGTGCCTTGGTGAACATGTCATGAGATCGTGGAGATTAGAACAGCCTCGTAATTTGATGCCCCGCTGCGGAGGAGCAGCAGTAGCTGCAGCAGTAGCTGCAGCGATGGGCTGGCTGGGCCCCACTCCGTGAAGCGGTGGAGTGTTTATCTGGGCTGCCTGTGGATGCCTGGCGCTTCACAGCAATCTGAGAGGAGGGGTAGCAGGAGTGGAGACTGTCAGTGTGCAGCAGAGGGCGAGTAATGCTAGGTCATAATTTGAGGAAAGAAAAGAAAAAACTGTGTGTATATTTGTATCCATATATACAGGGTTTCCCCCAGAAAATGGTGGTCTTTGCACCATAAATCTGGCTTAATCTGTCTTTACTGTCACTAGTGTATTAAAGAACATATTTAAAACAAATAAACGACACTTAGCCTGTGGGGTGGTAAGTAAAGCCTGGTGGCCCGCCAGGCTAATAATAAATACACTGGAGGAAACCCTGTATATCTATATATGTATATATAGATGTAAATAGAAATGTTAAAATACAGAACTTAGAGATGCACCAATCAGAGTGTTGTCTGATTTTGCAAAACTTTAACCCCATGATTAAAAAATACAAATGCTAAAATGGTCATTTTAGATCCACCTGTGGTATATTACATTAGTCATTAGTCCAGTTTGCATGGCTAGCATTACTAACAGGCCAGTAGATGTGTATATTTGCAGAAGCTTCCCTGTTGACTTCTTTATTGTCTACCTCCTATTTGAGTCTCCTTTCCTTTCATCTCTTTCTCTTGTCCTTCACTTCTTACTTTGTCTCGCCTTTTTTACTTGTTTTATTTTTTTACAATATTTTCCTTACCTGTGTCCTCTCCTTCTTTCTTTACTCCCTCTTCCTTGTGACCTTCATTCTTAATCTCATTACTTGTAACCCATCTCACATTACTACTTACTCTTTTCTTTCACTTATTCTTTGTGTCTTGTCTGACGCAGAAACATCTGCTCCGAATTCAGAATCTAAGTTTGTATTTTAGAAACATAAACGAGTTAGAACTCCAGAAAGTTGAGCCTTGAAAAGATTTCACATGTAAAAGGTGTGGGAATCTTGGCAGGATTGTTTGTACTTAAATCGCTGCCATGATTCATTAATAGTCACTGGCACATAACAAATCTATTCTAGATTTTAAAATGCCATTCAGTCATGTCACGTTTAAAATTAAGATTCCATTCACTCTTTGACTGTAGAACCTGTTGAGACGCTCCCCGTCGATATCGTCGCTGTCTGCTAAACCTCCGGTGTAGATGAAATCGCTGCTAGAAGCATTAAAAGAATATTGAGTATTTACGTTCCTGATACCCTACAGCAACACGTTCCATAGGGTATCTTTCTCTCGCGGGCACACAAGAGGAGCACCACCTGGGCGTTATGCTCGCCTGTTGAACACGGCTGACACTCGAGATTAGCCACAGCAATAGCTGTTCTCAATGTGTTGTCAGCATGGCAGCCTGCTTGCACTTTCTGAAATTGAGTCAGGCAGTGATGACATGACCCAGGGGTGCTGTTCGTGGCCTGTGAAGGCCTTTTCCTTCAGAGGTTCATAGTTGTCGTAGGTGAGAATTCTGTACATCTAATCACTCGGAGAAGTCTGTGGCTCTTTAAGGCGGCTGTCACAAGGAATAAGCAGTTTCAGGGCCCCAGCCAACAAGGTTTTCTTTAATAATTTAAAGCTTTAGCTGCATTTATTCATAAAGTCTCGGGATGAATCTCATTTTCATTATTCATGCTCGACCTTTCTCACATTTTGTCACATCCCGACCACAAACTTTGTGTTTTGCTGGCATTTTACGTGAGAGAGCAGAACAAAGCGGTGCATAATTGAGAGACTGACGGGAAGTGATACATGGTTATCACATTCAAGGAGCTGCGATCTAAACCGTTCCCCTGTAGCTCTCTATTTGAGCTTAGTTCTGCTGGTATTCCTTGATCTGTTTTCTTCTACAGACAGACATTTTTTGTCACAGGAGTGAAGCATTATGACAGACAACCTAAAGGTCACCAGCGTCAGCGAGGAGCTTGGATTTTAGTTAAAGGACAACATTGAGGTGCTTTTCCAATTCCTTTGCCAAAGAAATTGGGAAAGAAAAAAAGGAGTATACAGACTGTAAAGAGACATAGATTATTATCTTTTCTGTGGAAAAGTGGTCGGAATTAAGAAACATCATCGTTCACAGCCGAGTGAACAATGACAGAGAATGAAAGAAGATGGTGAAAAAGAACAACCACAGAGCAGTGAAGATGAACATTAGGAAAGACAAAGACTGCATAGATGGACAGGCAGGGGGAGAAGAACAGGCAGCATACAACGGTTGTATGAAACAGGTCTGTGACATGCGTATGAAATGGTCTGGAAAGCACAGCAAGCCAGGATTACCCACCAAGGACAAGGACAAGGACGGACTAGCACAGCAATTGAGCTGGGGGAGGTCCTGAATGGACTCATGTCTCCAAATCCATCAGCCTTCAACCCATCCAACAAAGCTCGAATCAACCCAATCCCCCTACCAGTCTTTCACCTACCATCATTGACTAGCAAGACTGAACCAATGTATTTGCAGAGGCAAATACATTGGTTCAGAGTCCCCTTCATCCAACTCAAGAACACATGGACACCCAGAGAGTTCACACTGACTTCCAAGATCCAAATATTCAACTTAGTAGTTTTACACGGCTTCAACCTGAAGGACAAGGTTTATCTTCCAAACATTGCATTTTGTAAAGTAGGTCAGAAGGTTTAGTTTCTATCTCACCAGACTAGGTGAACTTTCCCAACATGTTTGCTGCGTCCCCTACATAACTTGTGGCAAATAAGACTTTGAATAGGTCTTGCTAAACAAGCTTTCCTTTTGCCTCTCTTTCTTTGAGACACATTTATGGTGTGGCTGACTTTATAGTTTTCCAGTCAACAAATTCTTCCACCCTGGCTGTGGGTCTCTGCAACGTCTCTTTTAGCTTACTCTCCAATTAATGCTTTTCTTTTTTTATTTACCTTTCTCTTTAACATTATATGTTTCTCCTATCTTCAGTATTCTGCTCAAATCGACAAAACTATTTCCACAGTTCCAAATTAATTGCTCTCACTTCTAATTTCTCGTTGTTGTTTTACCTGTGAATACTTGTTTTGTTGGATCATTTCGATCATTTCTTGAGGAACTTTCTGGTCTTGCCCTCGGCAAATCGCTTTGTGTTCTGTTAAATTTGCTTGATTGATTGAGTTGGCTGCTCACATTACCCAGGCTCTGCTGGAGGTTTCTTCCTGTTAAAGTGGAGTTGTCCATTCAGCATACCTGCAGAGACTCGAGCGCGACAGACTGACTGGAAGAAGTCAGTCTGTATCACCTTAAGAAAGGTGGTCTCAGCAACTGGAAACACATTAATTCTCAGTATGACCGATTGTTTCAAAGTTAACTCTGTGCTTGCTCTGGAAGAGCAATTGCTTCAAAGTCAGAAACTCGATGCATTCGGCCGAGTTTCTTGAGATCAAATTTCTATTTGACTTTGCATCAGTGTGGTGTGAATGGATTGAATTGATTCCCATTTTTCTGTATATACATTAGAAGGTTTCTTTGTAAAGATGATGTTCTGTGAGCTTTTCAAGGCTTGAAATATTTCTCAGATAAGTTCTGCTCATGTGATGACGCATTAGCGTTCCTGCTTTCTTTTAACCCAGATTTCTTTGCTCAGTCAGTGTTCATCTTAAATTTTGAACTGTTTGTGGTTTCCCATGTGCCATTTAGTCTTTTTTGTCTGTCAAGAGATTATCTCTGGAGTGCCTGCAGTGTTGATACTTTATTTTATTTTTTTTACTTTTTTTTCTAATTAGATGCCTAACAAGTTAGCTGACATTTCCCCAGCCTCCTGCTTGATGTTGACATCTTTCTGAAAGTTCTCAGTGAGCCTAGCAACACCTCTGAAGTTATTTTCAGTGATCAACAGACTGGAGGAAAATTGTCTCTCTGAGGATTTGAAGCTCATCAGGAACAAACTGACTGCTGATCCATACGGTGCTGATTACGTGCAAATGAAACAACTATCAACACACAACCATCTTGATCTTGTTTCGTCACCTGTCATTTGTTCACTTGTACCAATTTAAGGTTGTTGTAGTGTCTGGTCATTCAGATCTGTATGTCGACTTCAGCCTTGAATAAAGCAGCAGTGGTGATGCGAGCATGGTCCAGGAATTTCATCTGCGTTCACAAACGTTTCTGTGTGTAGAACTGAGGTCTAATGAAGGAGGCGCAGTACCCTCGGGATGCCAGAGAGGGGCAGTGTTGTGTCGTCACAGGTTGGCGGTTCACCATGAGGCACTTTGAGGTGAAGGTAGGAGGCTGTAGGAGGGAAAAGTGGTGGTGGGGAGGTGGAACTACTCTGCGTGCGTTGCCCCTGGCAACCTTGATTAAGACAGGATGTCGTTGGAGCAGGGGCACTTGTGATGATTACATGGAGAATATTTCTGCCCACGTATTCAGGAATGAAGTTTATTCATTCATTCATTTTCTGTTTTTATTTTCTCAGACAGGTTGTGGGTTGCTGAAAGGTAGCGCTGCCGGCTTGTTGTCTAGTTGACATGTTTGGAGCATCAGATCAACTGAGTCAGAGCCTTCAGTGGCTGCGGTGGAAAAGTCTGAAGGAAATGATTAAAAAAAAAGGCTTATAGCAACAGTGCGTAACATTATTGACACATCGCAACCTTTTGGAAACATAAACACAAATTAGTCACAACAAGCAATCTTCACATCTGGGCTATGAGAACCCATGTTTGTAGTTTGTCATACAGTGGTGTGGAAAAATGTTTCCCCTTTGCGTATTCTTCCCCTGTTTGATTTGCATGGCTTAAATGATTTAGATTTCATATCAGACTAAAATCACCGCAGTAAATAAAAACTAAATTTTTTTTTTAATGATTTAATTTACTAAGGGAAATAAACTTTTCAAACTCTATCTGAAGCTGATGACTGGTTGTACAACCCCAGGAACTGCCATCAAACGTTTGCAGTGACTGGCATATCTGTCTGCATGCAAGTTATCTAACGTCTTGTTGTAACATTTTCCGTGTTCCACTTGATTTATAACTTCTTCTTTTTCTCTCTCTCCACCTTTTTCTCTTTTTTAACAGATTGCTTTTTCCCAGCACAGCAACTTTATGGACCTGGTGCAGTTCTTTGTCACGTTCTTCAGGTGAGCACAGCACAGCACGCACACACACAAAGCTTGGAGACTGGCGAGTCCCTCGCAGCACACATTCCCCACACTGACTGTAGGTGACAGGTCAGTTTATCCGCACTTCAAAAGGCTAGGAAGCCGGATGGAAGGAAAGGAAAATGTCAGCGCCATTTTAGTCAGCCACTTTCAGATAAGATCTGTTCAAGAAGCAGAATCTTTTTGGACGATCTTAATCCACCTCAGAGTCGAGACACTTCTTTCCCTGCCTTCTACAACCACTTGTTGAGCTCTTAAATCCTCCCCGCTCTCACAGCTCTGATTAGTTAACAAGACTGTTATTTTAAAGAAGCGTCAACGTGCTACAAATGAACTTTTCTGAGATGTGTAATGTGTGGTTAAGTGTTTTTTTTTTTTTTTGTGGAGTTCAGCATCCGTGTGTGTTTAGTGTGGTGAGAGCAAGTTGGCAAAAAATCTTTTGAAATTACTGAGAGAAACTAACGTCACTCACTGGTTTCCAGCTGCCGATTAGCTGGCGGCATCCACAAACAAACGCAAGACAGGACATTGTCTCCTATGTCACACAAACATACTTTTACATTTATCTGTATTATCAATCCAAAAAATGAATACTGATTACCTTTTAACCAATACAATATTGCCATCCTTATGGTGACGTGGTGGTAGCAATACTGATTCCAGCTTACTTACCCAGAGTTGATGGCAGATGGACTAGATGGGAGATCCAGCGCGGTTCTTCCCCCGTTTTTTTGAAACCACCAAAGTGGTGGGGCAAGCTAGATATTGCACACAAGCGATTCGATTGGCAGAAGACTGCATTCGTTGTTTGGCCTGTGGAGTTGAAAGTGTTACTTGTGGATACCATGTCAACCGGATGTGGGAACCTGCATCAAAATAATTAACAGAGAGACTTTGGAGAAGCTGGCTGCCCAAGGTCACATGCGGAAAACTGAACCTTCAGAAGGTTGACCAGAGCTCCTGCGTGCGCACGGAGGACTCATGTTTCCACGTTCCCAGATATTTGTACAGCCGGAGTGAGACATGACAATGGAGAAAGTGCTAAAGTGTGTCAAAGACCTTGGGTTCGTGGACTGAAGACAAATGCAGGCCACTTGCTTCAAATTTCCAGCTTTAATAATGTTTGGATGAGTCGGTTGTGGTAACGCACCAGATTGTGTCAATACATTTGCAACTGCACCACTTTTAGCCTCATTTCGACGCTGAACAACCAACCATTCTCCATTGCCAGACACGAGGTTCCCCCAGCAGGTAGAATGCAGAGGGTTTAGCAGCTTTTTTTTTTCTTCTTCTTCTCCTGGAAACAACTGCCTGCTGCAGCAGGAAACAGTGCTGATGAGCGTGGAAAGATTGAAATGAAAGCAGGAAGGTTGTGCACCTCTGTGAGACTGAGCTAGAGTCAGGAGTCTTGCCTCTCCACTGCAGATGACAGCTTCAGAACTGCCTACTGCTGCTTTTTAGCAACACAAAAATGGTTGTTGGAGCAGATTTCTTGCATGTTTTTTATGTAGTGTGCTAAATTTGAACATATTATGAGTCTGGGGTGCTTTGCAATTATAGACGTGCTTGTTCTGGAGGAGGTCTGAAAATGTGCCTGTGTTGTTGTTACTGCTGCTGTTGTTGGGCGGCTTGGATTGTACATCTGCAGGAATTGCTGTAATGTGTTATTGATTTTAAAAATGAACTGGACCATAAGTACAACAGTGTCCGCATTGTGGTTGACTGGATGTGTGTGATTTCGCTCCGGTGTCCTACAAGTGTGTGTGTTTGTGTGCTTGCCGTCCACAAGAGAACGACAGGATCGTTTTGTTTTTTTTTCTCCTTGTTTTTCTGGACTCTGTACATTACGTTTTGTGAACAGCCATTTATAAACACTGTGGACACAATGAAGAATCTTTCTCTTTGCTGAGGTTCATTGTATAAACATAGTGGAACCATTTCACATTTATGAATCCGTCCCTGTCTCCTTTATCTACATTCTGTCATGTTTCATCCACGAACACAAAGTGATGAATAACTGAAGTAAGAAGAAAACTAGAATGAGTTTCTTTTTTTTTTTTTTGTATTTACCCCCTTACACTGGTTCCTCTAAATAAAATCAAGTGAAGCAAACACATAGAAGAAGGCAAATGAGACAAAAGTAAAACCTAAAATGTCACACATGTTGCAATGACTCAGTCGAAAAAATAGTGGGCTCTCACAATGATAGCATTTAAGCTAGCTTTAGCATTTTAGCTAGTATTTGCTTTAACATTGTATTTTTTTGTCATATTGAATGGAGTATATTATTGCAGATCAACATACTGGCTGTAGTCCTTGTGCTAACGTTAACGTCTTAGCTAAAATTACGATTTTAGTTCATTTCGATTTAAAAACTAAACCTAATAAACTGAATGGAGTGAGTTGGTGTGTGTCAACATGTTGGTGGTACATATGACTGATGTTTTTTCATAGTGAATGGAGCACGTTACTGTAGATCAATATCCTACTGATATTTTTATGATAATGATGGCATCTTTGGAAAAAAAACAAAACATGTTGGCTAGTTGTGAATTAAAGAAAAGATGGGGAAAAAAAGAGAACCCTGGGAATCTGATTGGATGGCCATTCCTGCTAATATGTCACAGCTACTGTCCAACATTTCACTTTCCGTTACTTGGTTACTTTTCAGTTTTTTTCTCCTTATTTTTTGGCTTTATTCTTCAGCTGCACTAATACACATAAAGCACAGCCATGAAAGATCACCGTCTGTGGTTGTCACATGACAAAATCCCAAAAAATGACAGTGATATGAATCTTTTTTCCAAACCATTTATCTTAAGCTATATTTCCACCATAAGTAAAGCTTGAGCTCTGAAAGCGATCTGCGTTTAAGGTGACCTACGTTTGTTTCTGTCACTTTGTACCGATGCCGCTCTTAGCTGCCGCTGATGATGCCAGCGTATTTACACACCTGCCAACACCGAATCGTTTTGTCAGCAGTTGTAGTGAACGAGTCGTGCCCGCTGTTGGAAGCCGACTTGACAACAATTGATAAAGTAAAAAAAAAAAAAAAAAAAAAGGTTGAGCCATTTTCACTTCTTCCTCTTCCACGGCACCTCCTTCCTGTTCTCCTCTCCATCTCCTTTTCATCTCCTGCTCTCCTCTTTTCCTCCTCCCCTTCCTCTTTCTCAGCACACTCCCCCCCTCACCCCCACCCCCTTTGACCTCGTTTTCTGCACTCTCAACCTGCCACTCCCTCCCTGACTTGCTTTTTTTTTTCGTTCCTTTTTTTTGCCAGCTGCCACTGATTCAGCACCGATGAGCAGAGAGCCTAAAGTTAGCAAACCCCCACAACCCCCCTTCCCATCCCCGTTTGCCTCTGCGTCTTTGGGCGCCGTGTTGTTTGTCTTGCGGGGGCGGTGAAGGAGTCTAATTAACGGGAAAATTGTTTGCTCGCATTTGCTCCGACGTTCTCCGTTTCCTAATCTCGCCTTCTCACCGTGAGCGCCGGTTCTCTGTGCGCCGCTGCTCCCCCGCGGGGACAGATGAAGGTGGTGCCATCCTGTTATCTGCAGCACCAGCAGAAACTCTCGCTCTCTCCTCACCCCTCCCAGCTCCACAAGCATCCGCCAGCCGCAAAAACAGATGCACTAAACATCCACGTTTACAGCGCACAGATGCATTCGCATATTCACACCCAGCTGTCCAGCAGCTTCGTACCGCAGCTCCTCAGTTGTTGAAATTGAAATGCCACTTTGGGGGAAAAAAAGGGAGCCAGAGTCAGGAAGCACGGCAAACTTCTTGTGAAATATTTCACAAAATGAACAGGAATTTTGATTTTCGTTCTAGATGCTAAAAAAAAGCCCTGGAGAATTGTGGGGGGAAAAAATGCAGTAGGAAAGTTTTCCTGAGCTTTTTTTCCCCGTCCTCTCTCTTCCCACCAGCTCAGACTGAAATTTAAAACATGATCGCTAACGTAAGCACGCTTTGAAGAAATAAGTGACCTGAATGATGAATTCCTTGTCGGCGTAACTCCACACTGCTTGATGAAGGAATCCACAAGAACAGAATGCTACCTTTCAACAAAGCATCCCCACAATGGAAACGTTTGACCTGCTTTTGAAGTTGTTCAAGCTTCACCTTTTTTAAAGAGGAAGTTAGGTTTTCTAAATTGGTTATATGTACAGATAAGACACGGTTTGCTAAAGATGCAGATTAAATCAGTCCCGCAGAGGGGTGCTAATAAATCATTTGTTTTGTCCAGCAGAGTTCGATTTTACTGTACAACTTTTAAAATCAAATATTTAATGTATCTGGATCTTAAAGTGTTCAGTTTAATCAGTGGAGTTGATTTGAGCCAATCTGGATTCTGTTTACCTGGAGAAATAAATCTGATCTATTTGATACTGCAGGTAACATTTGTTTCAATTTGAGGCCAGATAATTAAACAGAATTGAATTCAAATGCACCAACCCTATTTCTGTTTGCTTGGTTCTGTCTCAGTATCGACTGATTGGTGGTCCAGAGGAACAACAAGTTTCGCCTTTAATCGGCTTAATTTAGAAACAAAAACCAGTAAAAACTCGTTGAGTTTTTCAAGTTTAGCACTGGAACGTTATAGCTTGCTTCCTGCTTTCAGAGTGGTGTCTGGCCCACTTGGCATTCACATATACATTTAATACATTTAGTTGAACACAGACCTGAGTTTTCAGGCAGACCAGATGCATTCACACTTCCTCAAACAAACTGGGCTTTCTAGGCAAACAGACTGGAGTTTGATTGAAGTTGAAACGGATCTCATCCACCGTTAAGCATTGGAACTACACGATTTAACAAAATTGCAAAAAACTGTAAGATCCTGTTCAGAAAAGGAGCTGTAGCCCTTCAAATGGAGGATATTTTTTTTTATTGTAAACTATGATTAATGGTGTATAACCTGGGAAAAAAAAAAAGACCTCTCAAACTTCTGTACTGAGATTATTTTTCTCTCTCTGACA